ACTCCCAAAGACATTGGATAGGGGTCGCGCGATGTCGTGAATTGGCAAAAGTTAGAATTCATGGGCCATTGGATCGGGTCCCAGTGGCTTAATGGTATACGAGCTCGCTAGCCTTGTAACCAGAAGGTCCTGGGGTTCGAATCCCGGTGGGTGCGAACTGATGAAGAGTCCCAACTAGGCTGACGAAACAGCTGTCTAGTACTCCCAGGTTTTCCAATGGTTCTATAACTTATGTCAGCTCATGATGAAATCCTCCAACCAATCAAACAAATCCCTACAAATCAATACTTGAAAATATGATTTTATTTGGTTGATGGAGACTAACAGTGGGATTCAGTTCCAGCCATCATTGAAAGATCGCCACTAAGAGCCAATATATCAATAGCGACCAATCGTCTCGGTTCAACACAAATCAGTTAGCAGGAAATACAAAATAATTTCAACAAGTGACAACTGATATCGGTTACATCAGGCGTGGTTCTCATGGCGCAGAAACTTAGTGAGTAACGCTTTGACGTTAGAAACAGTGGTCGCTAGGTACGAGCCCCAGTGAGAACACCATAACTCACTCGAATGCAAAATAAGCTGAAATGAGCATCTCGGATTTCATTGCCAACTACCATTAACGAAACAGTACCAATTGTTCTATCTTTCGACTCTGTTTCTATTGCAATCTACCTTACTAATTCCGTCGCTTCTAATTTATGCAAAACATTAGTATTGATCAATACCAATGCAAACCGACAACCAATCACAACCAAGGTCATCAGGAGAGACAATTATATTATTCATGGATAAATGAAATAAGTTCACTTCATATTGAAATTTGCGCTGAAGACGTTGTATATAAAGACAATTAAAGCTTCGCCTAAGTGAACACAACGAAATCAAAATAGAACAGCTTTAGTGGGATTGAAATTTCTCAATAAATATTGATCATTAGTTGAAGATTGAGAAGTGGACTATTCGATCGAGTTATGAGAAAACAGGCAAATCAGCGTAGTGGTTTTCACAATAGTGCATTGTTTTGCATTACCACATTACCAAGCAAAACAAAAAGGAAAAGAAATTTGATGATACAAAAATGGACAAACATGAGTGGGGAGAAAGATAGAACTTTTATGATCACCCGTTGAAATATTCAGAAATTGAAAGATTCTATAAGTTGGATGCTTAATTGTCATTATGAATGATTTTGAGCAGTGTCAAGAACTAGTGATTCGGAGCAACTATACGATTTTAAAACAAGGAACCTACACTTCTCCATATAAATCAAAGTGACGGTTACATGCTCTGTGGTTTATTCTCATCTTTTTGTCTAACGGCTTATGACTCCTTTCAACTCAAGCTTACTTCAACCGACATTACTTATCGAAGAAGCTGATGACTCGGCATGGATTAAATATATCTTAGCTACTTTACTTGGTGTTGATACACTGCTTCATCAATCGATTCGAACCGCCTTTATTGCACTCTACTTCTAATTTCTATATTATTTATCACGTTTTCCCACCTAACATGAGTAATTTATGAAAGACACGCCTGATCGATTGACTTGAATTCTCATCATGTCTTCAACTTTTATAGAATGTGTCTCAGTCATAAAATAAAACACAGAAGCGCTGCAAGGTTATACATGATTTTGTATGAGTAACCGAATATTTCATCATAGCCAAAAGTGATGCGGATTAGCAAGTGGTGGTGAACAAGCCTTCTGTATTTGTGCTCAGATTGCTACAAAATCCAGCTACTGATCAACTATCAGTACTTTCTAATTTAATTTGTGGATGGTGACTAGCAGTGGAATCCAGGATGTGCATTGCGTCCCATTTGGGACTCGTCATCCGGATGTACCTGCATTTCCCAGTGAAGGATGATGTTCCCACCAAGGCTCAGTACTTTCTCTGTCTTTATGTCAGAATTCAATGCAGACAGCTATTGTATTACACTGTTGCATTTAATAAGGCTGAAGTGTACACCAAACAAATTCGAAAGTATGCTTAGGAAGTCCGGATTTTGAGTATCTTATAAACGTGTCTAATAAGAACCGAATCATCTGCTTACTCGAAACCAAATGGCGATTTTCATAATATAAATTCAGTTTCTGAAACGTTGACATTAAAGTGAAGCGGGTTATCTTCAAAAATTGTGAGACAATTTAGTTTTTAAATGTTTGACAAAATACATTAGATGAAGTGATGTTTATTATAACAAAAGTTGTCTGCTTCTTTACAAGTTTAAAATGGGAAAACGAATACTATTAATGTGATCGATACACAAAACGGAATGTATCAATTACAGCGCATACGCTTCATTTTGTTCTTAGTATTGTCTAATCCAATTTTTACCCTAGATCCATCGAAGGATCTGGCGACTAATTTAATCTGTTGCATCCATACACAATTACACAGGATTTTCCAGAAGTACACTTTCTGTCTGAATTTAAATTTTCTCTGATAGTACACTGAACGTCAATTTATATCTCATCATTAGAAAGATAAGTTTTTTTTAAGTCGTGTAAAATTCTTCGTAAATCTTTATGTGTTGAATGACTAATAACTAACAACAGATATGTAATAAAGTTTCTCAATTTAACTTCAAATACCTTCTAAGTATGGATACAAAATCTAATACTGAAAGTTTCAAACTATCTGACTTTTTTAATTTAATTTAGATTTTATTGATATAAGGATAAAACCTGGGTACTGTGATAGAGCATAACTCCAGTATGGATAAATCACACAGTGTTGTACAGTAATATTAAATGATGACGTTTCGAGCACAAATTATTGCTCCTCATAATCATATCAAGTTACTCACACAACTTTTTACTTCATTTATATACATGCGTGGAATTGATTAGACATTTGAATAAAATTCAATATCGGATAATGTACATTCAGAAATAATAATAATAATAATAATAATAATAATAATAATATGAGTGTTATTGACCAATTACTATCAGATAGGAAATAAGACGAGTGTTTTTTTTACAGTCATAATAAGTAACTTGTTAGAATGTTATGATGTGCTTGAATTGAAGTAGAATTTTATGATTATTTATTATCCTCTTCTGATTTGACTGGCAGTAATAATATCTTCCATATCTGTGGTATCTGCGTTGAGTCATTTCTGTTGTATGTGTTGGGTTGAGACTCAACGAACCAGGATTCAGTAGTCGATATCTCTCTCTCCACGTACATAGATAACTTCTTAGAATCTTAACCCTCTCCCACCTTTTTGTGTGGTCGTGTGTTAATGCATGCAGTGTAATTGCTGAGCTTTTCTCTAAATTACTTGTCTTCTCGGGGTCAACCATTCTTACCTTAGCTAAATTCTTATGTTCTGACAATCTGACTACCCCTGACCTACTAGTCTGACCTATGTAGTTGACTGAACTCACAGTCATTATACTCTATTTTGTAAATTATATTATTTTGTTTAATTGGGTCCACCAGGTGTTTTGGCTTACAGGGCTTGTCTCTGAGTGAGTTTTTAGGTTTGAATGTCCCCCTAATTCCTGCTTTATTAAGAATCCTACGTGGGGCCTCTGATGTTCCCTCCTTATATGGAGTAACACAGAAATGACTCAACGCAGATACCAGAGACATGGAAGATATTTTTGCCAGTCAAATCAGAAGAGGATAATAAATAATCATAAAATTCTACTTCAATTCAAGCACATCATAACATTCTAACAAGTTACTTATTATGACTGTAAAAAAAACACTCGTCTTATTTCCTATCTGATAGTAATTGGTCAATAACACTCATATTATTATTATTATTATTATTATTATTATTATTATTTCTGAATGTACATTATCCGATATTGAATTTTATTCAAATGTCTAATCAATTCCACGCATGTATATAAATGAAGTAAAAAGTTGTGTGAGTAACTTGATATGATTATGAGGAGCAATAATTTGTGCTCGAAACGTCATCATTTAATATTACTGTATAACACTGTGTGATTTATCAAAATAAAATCATAGTTATAATGCAATTTCCAGTCAGTTCATTGCACCGAAGTGCTCGGTCTCAGGTTGATATGTTAGCCCCTTGTGCAGATGCTTCGACGATGTCTGGTCATATAACTTGAAGTCAAATGGTTGATGGGGACTAGCGGTGGAATCCAGGATACGCAATTCGTCCTATTTGGGATTTGTCTCTGGATGTACCTGCATTCTCCAGTGAGTGATGGTGTTCCCACAGTGGCTCGGACTCAGTACCCATAGTCTCGAACGCCGAAATCACTAACCATTAGAGCTGAGCACTTAGGTCCAATCAATCGACGGAGAAATGAAAATTGAATCAAATAATTAATAAGGCCCGTTGCATAAGAGGTGGATTTCGTGGCCCAAGTGGTCTAGTGGATAACGCTTTAGTGTTTTGAGACTACGGGCACTGAGTTCGAGCCTCGGTGGTAACATCACCCACTGTGGAACGCAGGTACATCCAACTAACGAGTCCCAGATAGGACGAAATGCGCATCTTGGATGCTACTGCCAGTCCGCATCAACGTATCTAACTTTTTAATAATAAAATCACTTCAGCCAACCCTAATTGCGTATGTGGTTCGGGTTCGATTTTCGAATAACATACTCCTTAACCTCTCTTAGCTGGTAGGAAGCTGGATAAAAAAGGAAGGTTGGGCGTGGAGCTGGGAATCCTACCCCGTAAACACACTGCTACTAAAACTTTCTATGTTCTAGTCGGAATGCAAATGAATAAAGAAGACTATTATTAGTATTATTAATAATGGAATACTGAAACTTCGTTTGCCATCAACGGAAGAGTCTACACCTTATCATCTACAGTTTATTTTTTTAAAGTATTTTCTTTAATCAATCTATTTTGCTAATTTAACTTATTAATTGACTTTGAATAAGTGACTCAGTATTATTATTATCATCGATATTATGAACTATTTCACCCATGGAGTTACGATGTCATTTTTTCTTCATTTCCTCTATTTAATTCACTTATTTCAGCATAATTTTAGTTCCAGTGAATCAGACATAAGTTTGAACAAAACCCGAAATGGACATTTCACCCCACTTGAAAGTTTAAACAATCATGAGAAAATTCAAAATGGGTAAGTGAAAATAATATTTAACAGACAAATAATATGAATAGAATGAATTTGAAATTTATGTTAATTCATAAGTATTCAAGATTATCGTTTAGCGATTTAGGCATCTAATTCTAAAAAAAGTATTTATAAGCAATAGGTGGTGGTGGTAGTCAGACGCCATTATTTGACATCACTGGTTTCGATATATAGCAACAATTTAGGCAGTCAATTGGAGTTAGAAACTTTATGATCTTATGTCATAGTATCCAAATGAGATTGTATACTCAGTAGGCAGTTTAAATGGCCTTTTGACATCATCATCGTATAACAAATGAAGAACAAATATCTGATGGACAATGTTATTTTGATAGTAGCTCAAGAAAAGTAATCAAAATGACAAGGAAGATGACAATAAACCCAGAGAAAATGCATTGACAGATGAAGTTTTCACGATAAGTCTGTTAATATTAAATGAAACTAGACTTGAAGGGATTCATTCGTGGTTTGCTAACGAGTCAATAAGGTTCAAGTTGTCAGTGTAAAGTCAAGCTGCTCAAATAGAAGTTGTTTGAGAACAAATCTTATGTACTGATATATTTGAAAGTCAATGTTATTATCAACTAAAAAAAACACTTGAACTTTGAAACAACACGGACACTTGTTCAGGTTTGGTCACTATGGTGCCAAACAAGAGATTATCAACTTGAAAGGCGAACAGATAATCATTTAACGGATTGGTCAGAATTTTATACGACAGGATTCATTATAAAATACATGCTAAGTGAAACCGTTGACTAATTACTTCACTTTATTCCTATTTGATTTATGTGTTATACCTTATCTTTCAGTAGTACATAAATTAATATCAGTTAGAGAACCATTGAAAATTAGGGAGTACCGGGCAGTTATTTCATCTTAGTTTGGGAATCATCGACAGTACGCACCCAGTGGGATTCGGACCCAGGACCTCCCACTTACAATGATTCTCTAACTGATATCAATCCGTGATCAATTCGTAAAAACAAATCTAATCCGTACAATGCAACTATTGAAAATACATAAATTGTCTACTTATTATCGTGCACTCATTATTCTGACACAAAAAAATAATACATAGAACAATGGAACTTGAGAGTCAGTCTGTCTGGATTCAACATAGAACTTGGCACCGAAGTGCAGCAGTTCGAGTTACCACATTCCAAATAGCACACAAAGGGACTTGAGAGACTTACATTTCGTAAATAAGTGTTAACCCTTTTTTACACAAGATGATTGATACAACATTAGGTGACTGAATTAAAATTTACTTTCCAAAGTAAGACACAAATCAGTGTTATTAGAGCAACAATCATATTATATATGACGAGGTATGGAGCTGTATTTTGCTTCTAAATCAAATCAAAAGACCTCCAGTTGATGTATTTGAATAAAAATGAGTTCATGCTCTGAAAACTTTGACATCATAAAAGCTCAAATTTGTATCATTACACAAATAAACAGATATAAGACAGTTGTTCTTAAACGTATTACGCCTACAGCCAATATATTCTCCAAGTTTTTCCAGATGCAGAGTACTAACAATACTGGTCACCAACAAACAATTTAAGACATATAGTGAAAATATTCATTCAGAGATTTAGAAAAAAATTGATCAAAAAATATCCTTTTCGATAATTCTCTCTTCTGGCTCAATAAATATGTATTTTAATATAGTTGGTTTGTAATGGTTAGTTTTGTTTTTACGAGTTGATATCAGTTAGAGAACCATTGAAAACCAGCACCGGAGTACTGGACAGCTGATGTTTCATCCTAGTTTGGGAATCATCGGGAGTACACACCAACCACCAGGGTTCAAACCCAGGACCTTCTGATTACAACGCAAGTCCGTATACCATTCAGCGACTGGAACCCGATTCAATGGCTCATGAATTCTAACTTCTACCGATTCGTAATTTAGCGCGACCACCAACCAATGTGAATATATATGGAATGTTCTAGAATAATCATCATAAACAATATTGGTGTTTTTAAATACTATCGATTTGTCAAGATCAATGAAATTGCAGTTCAAGAAAGACTCTTAAATTATAATAAGCATGAAATTGTAATAGCAAATAGAATATCAAATGAAATTAAGGAAATTTCCACAACAAATTGAGGATCATTAAAACCTTGATGGCCAGGAGGGTAAGAACAGTGTCTGAACCAACTTCTTTTGGATACATAAGTTAGGTTTCTTAATGTAGATTCCAACAGCCTCAGCAATATGTAGTAGATTAACCCTTAAGGTAAAGTGAAGATTAGTTGGTATGCGGTAGATGACTTTGAAAGTCTTGTTAACATTAATCTTGTGTTCTGTATCTACAAGATGAGATAGAATAGAGCTCTGAATGGACATTATTAAAATAAACTTTTACAAAGACATTGCAATAGTTTGTTGTTATTTTTTTTGTCAAGAATCGAAACTACTTGAATTATGCATGAAAAATACGGAACACTTAATGACTGTTTTGTTTCAATATAAGACTGTCTAGCAGAGGGTACACTTGTGGATCCATACGGAATCGGGCTCACAACCAATAGATCTTCACACTGAGCTTTCTTCGACTACCTTTCTTCTACGTTTTACCGCTCTGTCACATGGTATGAAAGAGTGACTTGTTCCCTGTGAAACATAAGAGTGTTGGGATCAATTCTGTTTAAAAGTCGCAAAATAAAATGAAACACCTGCTTATTTCTATTTAATTCTCAGTGATTCTCCATTTAGCGTGATAGACGCTGCTCCGAAATCAACTTAACAGAATTATATATATATATATATATATATATATATATATATATATATATATATATATATGCAGTACGTTAAGCTAACTGTCTGATCAATAATTTACCAATATTCTTAACTTTCAGTGATGAAGTCGACAGTGGTTCAGATTACATTTGGTGAGACTGAAAATAATCCCGCGTGGAGAATACACATATCTTCAAATTTTAACATAGAAATAAAGATTCAGTTGTCTATGTATTATTTATATATGACAGTGTAATTTTTATGAAATTGAAATTAAAGTCATGTCTTATGTACATGTTAATGGTCAAATATGTGATTTTCATTTAACTTTTCCACTGATAAAGCAAGAAATAAATATTTGAAAAAACTCGAATTCTGAGTTCTGATCTGCAAGTGACCGTCAACTAATGATGACAGAATACATCTGGAAGACACACAATTATAGATTAATGTGGAAATAGTGTACTGATGTTATACAAAGTAGCATAAAACATAAATATTCTCATACATGCTCCAGTTAACGAAAATGCTGTATAGTATTGTATGTTAAGGTGACGCTCTTTCGCATTCCATGCCTTCCGAATGGAACATAAGGTTCCAAGCGGAGACCTTCTTATATTACCGGGTGAACCTGCTAGTGTGGTGTCACGCTTATCCTCCCCTTTTTTCCAGGCCTAGTCAAGGTTTAGAAGTCTGTCGACCCGGAATCGAACCCGAAGCTCCAGTGTGGCTGGCAAGCAATCTACCAATGAGCCACCGACTCACAAAGTGACGTATACTTCTGTAATTTTAAAGCTCACATCTTGAATGTTGTTGGTACTTGTATGTGCCGTAGAAGTTCTGTGATTAATATCATTAAATACTGATTCACTTTTTGGGACAGGAGTGGACGAACAGTGTTAATTCAGTTATGCAGTGTAAATTAAAATCGGTACTACGTATGAATAAAGTACTCAAATCGTTTTAATACTTATCAAGATTATATGCAAAGTTGTTTCTGTAGTTTTCCAACACAATAGATACTATGTCATGTAGAGAAATATTAGGAAAGAAATTGTATATTCTTCATTTTTGTATTGATATCTCTGGCCATCATCGCTCCTAATAAATTCTAGGTGTTATCAAACATCGTGTCCAAAAAATTTGAAAACATAAAATTTACGAAACTGTTAATCAATAGTTCGATGTTATGTTTTGTTGAAAAATATAAGTATTTTAGGAGGGTTTAAGACACACCCTAGCAATAAAATCCTAATACTCAAATAACCAAAATCTTAAATTACCGAAACAAAATAATCCACAGAACCAACGAAATGCAACGTTAGAGCTTATGAGAGATAGAAAGCATTCATAATTATCTGTGCGTTTTAGTGCCCAAAAGAATCACAGTTACCACAACCAACATTAAATAAAAACATAAAAATTTTCTATAGTTTGGTTTGTAAGGGTTAGTTTTGTTTTTATGAGTTGATCATGGAGGAATATCAGTTAGAGAACCATTGAAAACCAGCACTAGAGTACTGGAAAACTGTTACATACAAAAACCATCGTTGCAGCAAGTGCAAAATCATCGGTCATAAAAATGGTTTTTGTCAGTCACGCAAACCCAGATATCATAATCCAGCGAAAGCTCGCCAAACTGTTGGTCCTAAATCCCCAAAAAAGTCAATGAGTCTAATCGCAACCTGTCAAGTCACAACACCAGGTATGCGGAAATATCTTGATCTTCAGATGAATGGTCATGATACACGTCTGCAGCTAGATACCGCCTCTGATATTACTGTTATATCAGAGAAACTTTGGAATGATATTGGCAGACCACCTATCACAAATACTTCCCAGACTCTTGTCAGCGCCTGTGGTGGGCGGCTCAAACTAATTGGTGAACGCAAATGCTCTGTTTCATTCCGTAACATCAAATTCACAGGAATTTGCTACGTCACCAAGAGTGATTTAAATCTTTTGGGACTTGATTGGTTCGATCGTTTGCACCTGGCTGATGTCCCACTAAATTCTCTATGCAATGCAGCCAAGAAACATAAAATGTCGGACAATTCCGGACGAAGCCGAAGCCGCAAACCCAACAGGCAGACGTCAACAACAAGCTCAACGGTTCCAGATAAACCCCTAAGAAAACACGCTACTAATCATCAATCTTCTCAAAAGGGGAGGTGATATATATCCATATAATATGTGTGTCTGTTTGACAGTCTGATATATTTTGTTATGTATATATGGATCGATATTCCATTATAATTAGCCAATCATAATCTTGCCAGATACTAGCTTGCTAGTATACTATCTTACTAGTTTTTTCGCCGGTCCCATGCCCGGGTAAGGAGGGAGGGTTGGGGCGTGTTGCTAGCAACTCCACCCCTGTAAAACAACCAAATCGCTACAGAAACTTCAACGAATAAATATATTAAAAATTCTAAAAACATAAGCAATAGCCTTACTTTTCGCTGGAATCGGGGAAGTGAAATGACGCAGGCTGGTGAAAGCCTTCGGGAAGCCAGTCAGCCGATGTGCCTTCTTTCGATGAAAGCAAAAGTAAGGATGGGTACCTGGAATGTTCGCACAATGTACGAAACTGGAAAGGCTGCCCAGATAGCCGCTGAAATGAGAAGGTACAGAATAGAAGTGTTGGGAATCTGCGAGAGCAGATGGAACGGAACTGGAAGGTGCCAACTACCTACTGGAGAGACAGTAATCTATTCCGGCCACCTAGAGGACAACCATGAGCACACCGAGGGAGTGGCCATCATGATGTCACCAACAGCAACCAAAGCTCTCATGCAGTGGGAACCAATCTCCTCCAGGATAATGACAGCCAGGTTCAACTCAAAAGGAAGGAAAGTTACAGTCATTCAATGTTATGCGCCTACAAACGTCTCAGAACAAGAGAAGAAGGAGGCGTTCTACAGACAACTACAAGCAATAATGGACAACGTCCCAAATGGCGATATCAAAATCCTGATGGGCGACATGAATGCGAAGCTGGGAGGAGACAACACAGGAAGAGAACTCACCATGGGTCGTGAGGCCCTCGGTGAAATGAACGACAATGGTGAACTCTTCTCAGACTTCTGCGCCTTCAATGATTTGGTGATTGGTGGTAGTGTGTTCAAACACAAGGATATACACAAGACGACATGGATTTCACCAGATGGAAACACCAAGAACCAAATAGACTTCATCTCAATTTCAAGAAAGTGGAGACGGAGCCTACTGGACACAAGGTCAAGGAGAGGAGCAGATGTGGGTTCAGACCACTATCTAGTAGAAGGGACTTTCAAGGTGAAACTAAAAGCCTCGAGGATAGCTGGGGATAGGCCACAATGCAAGTTCAACACTCAATTACTGAAGGACACAACCACAAAAGACACTTTCACTGCAACTGTCAGAGCAAAGCAGGAAACACTACGCGACATCACTGAAGAATCATGCGTGGAAGAACATTGGAAGTCTCTGAAGGCGATTCTCAACGAAACGTGTTCAACGGTTCTAGGAAGAAAGAAGAGACAAGACAAGGAATGGCTCTCAACGGACACTTGGAAATTAATAGAAGAGAGGAGAATGGTGAAAGAGAAAATGATTCAATGCAAGGACGGACAGGAGAAGGAGACGATGAGCTCAACTTACAAAGCATTGGACAAAGAAGTGAAGAAAAGTGCTAGGAAGGACAAAAGACGATTCTACGACAATCTAGCTACTGAAGCTGAAAAGGCAGCAGGCAAAAGGGACCTGAGGACACTATATCAGATAACCAAATCTCTATCCGGGAAGAGACCAACACAAGCGAAACCTATAAAAGACAGCCAAGGGAAGCCCATTACCAAGGAAGAAAAACAGATTAAACAATGGGCGGATCACTTCAAAGGACTCTTGAACCGACCATCACCTGCAACCCGTCCAGAAATACCAACAACAGCGCGCACACAACTGCAAGTTGACACCAATCCTCCAACGAGAGCTGAAGTCTTGAACGCAATCAAACTTCTGAAAGCTGGAAAAACAGCCGGACCAGATGGAATACCCCCTGAAGCACTGAAAGCAGACCCAGAGACGACAGCAGACATGCTGACTCCATTATTGCAAAAGGTCTGGAAGGAGGGAAAGGTGCCTACTGACTGGAGGAAAGGTTACCTCGTGAAACTACCAAAGAAGGGCGACTTAGGACTCTGCAAGAACTGGCGAGGAATCATGCTCCTATCGACGCCAAGTAAAATCCTGAGTCGCATCATCCTGGAGAGATTAAAGGACGCACTGGAGACAGAACTCCGACCAGAACAAGCTGGATTCAGGAAAGGCAAATCATGTACTGACCAAATTGCAACTCTACGCATCATCATCACAGAACAAAGCATGGAATGGCAATCAAACCTCTACCTCAACTTTATAGACTTTGAGAAGGCCTTCGACAGCGTTGATCGTGAAGTAATTTGGAAATTACTCGAGTACTATGGCGTACCCCAAATATTCATCAACCTTATTCAACAGCTGTACGACAACGGCACATGTCAAGTGATCCACAACGGAAAACTCAGCGAGGCGTTTGGAGTAAACACAGGAGTCAGACAAGGGTGCTTACTATCACCAATGATATTCCTAATTGTGGTGGACTGGATTATGCGTCAGACTGTGGGAAACGAGAAGACAGGAATATCCTGGACCGACGTGAAGAACCTAGAAGACCTGGATTTCGCGGATGATTTATGTTTGATGTCACACACAATCGAAGACTTACAAGCGAAAACCGACAAACTGGTCGAAGAAGCAGCCGGCGAAGACAGGACTCCAGGTAAACATAGACAAGACGGAGGTTATGAAAATAACCAACCAACAACAGCAACAACATCCAACGTCAATCACCATCAACGGGAGGGATTTGAAAGAGGTTACTTCATTCACTTATCTAGGGAGCATTGTCTCAACTACAGGAGGAACGGACGAGGATGTCAAATCGAGCGAGAATCGGGAAGGCGAGAAACACATTCATCAGCCTGAAATCAATCTGGAAATCTTCGTCACTCAGCATCAACAACAAAATTCGGATTTTCAATACAAACGTAAAGTCAGTCAGTTCTTCTATACGGATCAGAAACTTGGCGGGTCACAAAGAATATTTCCAAAAGGCTGCAGACCTTTATTAACAACTGTCTTCGCTCTATACTGAAGATCAGATGGCCGGAAAGAATCACCAACAAGGAATTATGGGAACAAACAAAGCAAGAACCAATCGCCCAACAAATATGCAGGAGAAAGTGGAGATGGATCGGACACTCGCTGAGGAGACCGCTGGGTGACATCGCGCGCCAAGCCCTCGAGTGGAACCCGAAAGGGAAGCGGCGTGTGGGACGTCCAAGGGTGACATGGAGGAGATCGTGTGAAGAGGAGTTGAAAGAATATGGATTAACATGGATGCAGGCGAAAAGTATAGCAGAAGACAGAAGAAAATGGAGACGTGCAGTTGAAGCCCTATGTTCCACTAGGAACCCAAGGGAGCAATAATAATAATAATAAATCATGTTAAGACTGTCTATTGATTTGTTCATTTTGAATATTCGCTCACACACTTGTGTTCACACACTTGTTCGGACATTCACACTAAATTGCTCTCTCACACTTGTGTGACATTGATTCTCCTGGTGTTTTGGAAAATAGAAGTATCATCGCAAACCTAGTGGTCTTCTGATTTCCGTCTTTCTTGCGTCAGGACTACTAAATTCTCGTCCAGTACATAACAGTTACCACATCGAACAGTAAATAAAAATATAAAAATTTTGTATAGTTTGGTTTGTAATGGTTAGTTTTGTTTTTACGGGTTGATCACGGATGAATATCAGTTAGAGAAGCATTGAAAACCAGCACTGGAGTACTGGACAGCTGTTTCATCCTAGTTTGGGAATCATCGGTAGTGCGCACCCAATGTGGTTCGAACCCAGGACCTTCCGGTTACAAGGGAAGCTCGTATAAATATAAAAATGCTAACTAATTACCTCCAAACACTAAAGCAGTATAAATGAAATCATGATTTAACTTATACCAGCAACTGCTATTATATAGTGTCGTCGATTGATATAGGAAGTATGTCTTACTCCGGAACTATCGATATCGAAATACCAACAATAGACAGAGTTTTATACGACAACGAAATATATATTAGATGATATCTCATCTATAACAGACTCAACCAAAAGAGGGAGTAAAGTCGTGATTCAGGAATATACAGTATTTAAGGCGTCTTCAATCACATACAACAAAGTCATCAGGTCGACTAAATTACCATCTGCAATATGTAACTGGTTTAACAGATAACTATACGATTTCTTAACGCTATATATATATATATATATATTATATAACACAGTATCTTATATGCCGGTGAGTGTCAGTAGCAAGTGTATCAGTGTACTCATAAATCATATATTTTGTCTGTTTTCGACATAGGACTTTGCACATATGTGCTGCAGTTCGAGTCGCCACACTCCATGTACCACACAAAGCAAGACAAGAAAGTAGAAGAAATGCATAATAGAGACAGTAAACAGAGGTGTGAGACAAAGGAATAGCAGTAACGAAGAACAATATAGTTTCATTGGAAATCATAAGTCATAAGGAGTGGATGCATCTGCACCAGCCATTGAGAACAATTTTGAGCCATATCACCAATTGTTTCCAACCATTGGTTTTTACCGTCCCGAGGACGCCAACCAGTCAGGAAGTCTACACCTTCCTACGTGGCTTAAACTAACTGTTGTGAATTTCATTGACTGACGAAGTCATGTTTTGGTTTGACCGCCACTAGCTCTTTTCCAGCCTGACCAATCCTATGTCAGCTAGCATTGCCCATTGTGGTGCGCATGCCTAACCACCGCCTCCCCCGACGGGCATTGTTAGCTGATATAGGTTCAGGTTGGAAAAGAGCCAGTGGTGGCCAAACAAAAACATGGCATCAATCCATGAAATCCTTGACAGTTAAACTGAGTCAGGTAGGGAGATGCAGACTCCCGGGTTGGGGCCCTCGGGACTCTAGGAATCAATGGCTGGAGACAATAGGTGACATGGCTCAAAATCGTTGTCAATGGCGCACATGTATTCAATCTCTGTAATCTTTCATATTCCTTTCTACCATTACCCATTCTGTTTCACTCCTATATTTGTCAAACTCTATTAATTCTCTCCACTCATCTTCTTGTCTACCTCTGTGTGCTATTTGGAACGTGGCAACTCGAACTGCTGCACTTCGGTGCCAAGTTCTATGTTGAATCCAGACAGACAGACGAGGAAGGCGATGACTAGACACTCATTCGTAACACATGTCCTAACCATCTCAGTCGATGTAATTTCACAGCTTCACGATTGATTGCCCCTCCCACCTACCTGGCACTCGACCGATGCCTAACCTCAATATCGCTCACCCCATTATACCATTTCACATGGTAGATAAAACACAGGCACATATGATCAAAGACAGCTAGTCTTTTAATGTCTTCCACTCTCAATGGCCAAGTCTCACAGCCATAAAGGAGGATGGAGTGGACTGCTGGGTAGTACACATGCCCTTTGGTCGACAGCCAGTCAGCCGGATATCACGTCTACTTAGCCAGAGACAGCGTAAACTGGCGAGCGTATTCGAAACTAGCTCTCTGCATCCGGTCAACGTGCTCTACCACTTCACTCCCTATTTTTAATCTAGGAGTCGTTGTAGTCCAGTCTTGTAACATCATCTTGCATTTGGCGGGAGCGAATCGCATGCCAAACATTCGTAGATTGCAGCTTAATGTGTTTAGAAGACTGCTTTTTTTCAGCGTCCTCGCTTAGTAGGACTATATCGTCTGCGTATTCTAAGTCAACAAGATTATTCCCTGGTAGCAAGTCAATCCCTGAGTCCCCGAAGTGAGTTAAGCTTAAGTCCATCAGTACATCTATGATGAAATTGAATAGAAATGGAGATAATGGGCATACCTGACGGACACCGCTAGTCGTCACCACTTCAGATGATAACTCGCTGTAAGCCCTCACCTGGCTGATGGCATGAGTTCGAGTAGAGTGAGTGGCTTAATCAGTGCAATGTATTTTCTCGGCATTCCCTTCACGGCCAAGCATCGTCAGACTACCTCTCGGTCAACAGAATCGAATTCCGCCTTTACGTCAAGAAATATAACGATTGTGTCATATATATATTATATTAATTGGTATTAATAATCATTAAAATCTAACTACATAGAGTAAAATAGTATTAATAATTATCAAAATCAAAACTATACATTATTATTATTATTATCAATGATGATGATTTGAAGGTAAAAGAAAACAAACAGACGAGAACAGGGTGTAAATCTCAGTTCCATAAAACAAAAATAACAAGGAGGTATTTGTTGTAATACAAAAAGGAAACAAGCAGACACAGACAGATTTATCCCCTCTGTCTATCTTCAAAGCAAAGGATAGAAGCAAGTTGCATAATCTATTCACAATATATATATATATATATATATATATATATATATATATATCACATATTTATAAGTCACCATAAACTAAGAAGGGGTGAAGATTCTTTAACATAACAAAAGAGTGTTTGGAACACACACGCACACATTCCCATAAGAAAATACTTTCAACGTGTTTGATGAAACTGCACAACTTATCATAGAGTTGAATTAACAAAGGAAAATGGATGAGTAATATTAATACTAATAAGTAATAAGCATATTTAACTGCAACAACCAGACAAACCTTCGTCATCTGATAGGAAGACAATCATTTTGGAGAAGAATACAAAGGATTGGAGGGTTGTTCAGTTAACTCGGGTTCTGATAATTTAGTGAGATATAATTTACAATGAAATAAACTAGATGTTGAATTGGAAGTCAAAAATATGTATGTGTTTTATAAATTATCTTCAAGAAATGAATTAATTCGAAGAATGGCGCATAAAAGCGGGTGGGGGGGGCTGGGGGTAGGAGGGGAAGTGAGTAGTCTTCAGAAAGAAAAAGGAAGAGGAAGAAGAGTGAAAGATTTATCAGATTGACTGATCAGTTTTATAATGAATTTTACATTTTTTGCAAGAGAAAAGAAATGATTTGTGTTTATTGCATTCAATTAGAACGAATAAATAAGAATGATGAAAGGCACAATGAATCAATTGTGAACATATTCACTTACTTCATGAAAGATGATCTAGCTTTCGTGTATCCGAGAATGATAATAGATTGGCTAAAATCATTTCATTTTCATTATTTTTAGTTTTATTCCTATCTGTTGTCAGTGTATTATACCCTCTGTCCTTATTGACAGTGTTATGCTCTAATGCAAGAAGTGAATTAGAATGATAACGATTAGCATTATTAGGTGGATCACACATATAACGATCACCAATCAATCGTTGTTTGCACAAATTCATACGATAATCTGATGATATAACAGTTAGCTGTACACCACTGGCTGTTGAACCTTCACGAAAGAATTGCAAACTCACTGGTTGTGGCCTACCAGGACCATTAGTCAGTGTGAATTTCGCCCTGACTGTACCAGTTGCATCAAATTTTAAAGCAAATTCTGAACGATGAGAATTATTAGAAGTTTTTAAAGTATCACGATCAATATTGGCATTCTGTAGTGGAATTCGCCATGTAGCATGATTAGTATCAGGTAGCCATGTTCCAACAGGAAGACTTTGCATACGACTCACATTTCCATCCACCATTAAATTTATGCGTAAATCGCCAACATTTTTTATAGACCTAGAAAAGGAAATAACAATTGCTTAACAATTTTTGGAAACTCTGAACTATTAAGCTTTATTGCCATCAAACTGTTGTGTACACAAATGCAAATCTACGACCAGAAGTCTCCCCTTTAATTGAAGTCGACTCATGCCAAAAAGTGAGTCGGTGGCACAGCGGTTAGGACGCGCGCCGACGACGCACATGCTCCGGGGTTCGATCCCCGGCCGACAAACTCCTTTACCTCGCTAAGCCAGAAATAATGCTGGTAAAGAAGGAAGGTTGGGCATGGGGCTATCAAACTAATCCTGTAAAAATAAACACTGCTACAGAAACTTCAAGCACTAGCTTGGAGCCCTATGTTCCACTGGGAACGTGAAGGAAAAAAGTGCCAAAAAGACACTTCGACAAACTACACATATTAAAAACAAAAAAAGATAAGAACCTACAAGATAATGTAACAGAATCTTAACTATTCCAATTCCTTGCCTACATTAATCAACCTAATCGGCAGAAACTATTATTTAAAGATATTGGCTTATTTCCATTAAGGAAATGACGATAAATAAACGCGTTTATCATTTTGATTACATACCGAGAAGTGTGTATCCCTACACTCAGAAACAGCACTAAGGTCATCAGGTATTATGATAACCTTTCTCACTTTCTCTAATTACACAGAAAATAAAATTAGCAAAGCGAGGATTGGGAAAGCAAAACAAGCATTCAGTACTCTCAAGTCTATGTGGAGATCACCACCACTCCTCACCATGAAAATAACATTCCAATTTTCAACTCCAATTTGAAATCAGTGCTACTTACTATACGGATCAGAAACTTGGCGCCTCGTCACGAAGGCCACTTCAAACAATCTACACGTCTTCATCAACAGCTGTCTTCTCTCAATACAACTCAAGATCAGATGGCCAGCCAGAAAAAAATCAGAAACAAGGATCTCTAGGAACGAACGAACCAACCCAACCAGGAACCAATTGTACAACAAATATGCAAGAAGAAGTGAAGGTGGATTGGCGATACTCTGAGAAAACAAACCATCAAGTGAACGACATAACACACCAGGCCATCACTGGAGTGGAACCTGAATGGGAAGCGGCGAGTTGGTCGTCAGTTCGAGGGTGACATGGAGGGGGTCATGCAAAGACGAGATAAAAGCGTGTGGGCAGACGTGCAGTCAGGTGGAAACGTTGGCAGAGAACCTAACGGAGATGTGCAGCTGAAGCCCTGTGTTCCTTCAGGGACTGAAGGAGACAATAATAACAATAATTTTTATGACATAATAGTAGAGGACTTACTCTTTATTCACATTAGTTGTAGGCCATTGTGCTGTATAATCTAAACGGAAATCTGTAGTCGATGCTTCACAACGCCAATATGTACACAAGTGTATTGGAGGTGTTAGTGCAGGATAAGCTTTTTTCACATCTGCATTAACATCAACAGTATACGTTAAAACATCCAATTTAATGTATGTAGGTGAATTCGAAGATGTTGAAGAATTTAAATTATCTGATTTATCATTAGATGTAAATGAATTTTCTTCGGCATAGGGAATAATTGATGGCAACAGATGACGTGATAGTACATCACCAGGAATAGTAAGCAAATACTCTGAATTCATATCGCTTTGTGTCTCAGAAGATTTCCCAATGGTATCTGTTGGATTTCCAGGGAAATCTGTCCAAGGAGTAATAGCAGAACTTGTATTTTCTGAAAATGAACTACAGAAAACCAGATATAAATGAAGTGTATAAGTATGCAAAGCAATACAGAAGAAAATTTGGTTTCTTAGTTAAATGCAACAGAAACCTCCTAGAAATAGTTGGGAGTGAATAATGAATTTTAAACAACTAAATTATGGTTATAATACTATGGAAAATAATGTTTATAAAGTCCTGACGATTGGAGAAAGAAGTATGGTATTCTAGTTGACACTATTCCAGAATGTTAGTCATCAAATGAACAGCACACAGAATGGATCTGAAACCATAATGCGTCGGTGGCACAGTGGTTAGGACTCTCGCCAACCATACACATGGTCCGGGTTTCGATCCCCTGCCGACGCACACCCGATATCTATGGTCGGCCTGCGAAATTTGGGCTATCGATATCACATGCTGAAAATTCCACACCTGTACCAAAAAAAACGGTGTGGCACCAAGCTGTAATCAAAATTAAAGTAAATAAAAAAATTAATGACTAACATATGAATGAAACATATGAATTTACCAATATCACGCGTCTAGTGCTTGGTGTCGGTCCAGACTGAATCTTAACAGTCAAGTTTGTAACGCGGTCATCAAGGTAAGTGACTCATCATTGCGGTTCACTTTGAATTAATATTAGATTGTCGAAAACGATCAGCAGGAAGCCTGCAAACTTGACTGATATAATTTACTCTGCACTAATACCAAGGATCACACGCATAAGATCAGTTACTACTTAGTGTCCAACCAAAGCAACCATTGTAGCCCTGCAGGAGGTCAATAGTGAGTCCGAATACCTCAGTGGTTACGTCTCTGAATGCAGCAACAAATGACTCAGGTTCGAATCACAGGGAGGATGTAAGTTTCTTCAAAAGTGCATGCATGCCTTGCTGAGAAGGTGTCTAGGACCTCTTATAGATTGCCTCGAACCATCTACCACAGCGACAAAAACGATTTCAAAACATGACATTTTGCCACCTTTGGAAGGTGTTTCCTCAGGAGAATAGAGCTGGTAAGGAGTATCATAAATCTAATTAGTAATAAATTGTACTTTATCGGGATTGAAGAAATTTATCTCTTCACTATGAGAGATCTACTCAGTTTTTAACCGATCAGACCATACCTCGGTCCAGATAATCTAGAAAATCCATCTAGACACTGTTTTATATGCAACATGATCTGAAATTAACTGAACTGTAGGATCATGACAACGACACAGAAGGCCACTTTTTAACTTGAAATTATATCACATGTTTGAAAGTTAAACACAACTGTACTTCCCCCCCCTCACTAGGTGATTATTTCCATCTCATATTTAGAAAAAAAAGCACTTAATTCCACATTCAATGTGATTAAACTTCAAGTGGTTTTGATAATTAGATTTTTAGTTGGAAAATACAAATGACGAGTAGAACAACTCAGTATTCTGTTCAGATTTAATTTGACCGGTAAGTGCCAGTGATTTATAACTAATTAGTAGTAGTAGTAGTAGAGAATATTTGGGGTTTTTTTGCACCTGAAATGAACATTTATTATTATTATTATTGAAATAATTGGACATTGAAATGACAAGGATAATTTCAAAAGCCTAGTGAAACACCATATCTATATGGAGTAGACATTCACCGGTGAAAACAAAAATAACAATTTTGAAACAACCAGCAATAAATACAATTCAAAATCCCATTAACTTAATGCACTGTGAATTGTTGGTATTAGATGGTTGGAGGCAATCGGCCACAGGAAGCCTTGGACCTAGGTTTTGTGCTAGTTGGCACTCATCAGCAAGGCGAATTATCTGCAACATTGAAGGAACTCATGTCCCTTCTGAGATTCGAACTCGCGTCACCCAGTGCTGCAGTCAGAGACGTTACCACTGAGCTATTCAGGCTGGCTCGCGACTGACCTCCTGTAGGACTGTATAGGATATTTTTGATTGGACACTAGTCAGTAACTAGTGTAATATGTCTAGTCCCATATCTTCGCTGCAGACTGATTTCTATCAGTCAAGCTTGCAATGTGGCCACCATGCTAGGTGGCTCACCATTAAGGTGCACTGTGAATTATTGGTATTAGATGTGTTATCATTGTGCGTCAGTGGCTCAATGATAAGATGTTCTCTAACAACACGGGAAGTTCAGGTTCGATTTTTGGCCGGTGCACTCCTGAACGCCTCCCCCCCCCCTCCTAGTTTACTATCCCGTAGTGAGCTCGGAAAAAAGGGAGGGTTAGGTGTAAGGTTAGCAACGCTATTCCGTAAAAACAACACAGTCACTACAGTAACTTGAAAGCTTGAAGCCCACTGTTCTATTCGTAACACAAAAGAATTAAGTGTCATTATTACTAATACTGTCAGTGATAACATTCCACCACTCATTTGGCATGAATAATTGTCATTAGTGTACATCAGTGTATAGAAAAAGGAAAGTCAAACTGATGGGCAAATTAAGAGAGAATGTAGTGAGAGCTGGCTGCTAGCCTAAATTGGTAGATAGTTATTTACGTCAATTTTTACGTCCCCAATATTGGTCGTGAGAAAAATATGAACAAAGACTGATTCAACAACCAACTACAGCAGACTTTGCGTAGGCGGATACAGTTAGCATATAGATGATCTGACATTCAAGAAACAGTCACAAAGAGATGAAAGATTAACTTTCAGTGAGAAACGACCAATCAGAAGACTATATTTTTCTGCTAACAATAATCTATAATAATGGACATGAAAATCTATAAATATGTGTTGATTTCCTTAATAAACGATCTGTTGTCTGGCCTTGTCTTCTGTTGTTACACTATCATCTTGCAAGTATGCTAATGATGTATGTTAATACACATCCAAGAATAAAAGTGACCGATATTCTACAGCTTCTAGAAAGTGAGACTGCTCAATGGAGAAGAATAAACTGTAGAAGAGATCTGATTTAATAAATGGTCACACTATGGTATTATCATAGCAATGGCTTCTTAGAATCTCTGATAAAAACTTAACGTAGAAAATATGCAAATAATATACTTTAAAAAATAATAAAAACATTAACAGATCAGTTTACCTGATAGACGAACCAGAAAGTTTAGCTTGTAAATCCTGTAATCGTGCAGCGTTGGTAATTTTAAGAATAAGAGGCGTAATAATTAATCCATTCAAAAGTTTCTGTTCAACATCTGCACGCGGGAAGGCAAGAGTTAAACTACCATTGATTGCTTGAATCGGAGGTTGACATGTAGAAGCTGCAGTGGAGAAAGAACTACCACCACCATTAAAAAACCGGGCATGCCAAGTCTCTGTAAATGCAGCAGCTAAACAGATAGTATTATTATTATTATTCGGTGAATTGATTGTATACGCAGAAGGCGAAGGTGTGATAGTACGCTCTGTATTGAGACTGTTATTCAAACGATTATGCAAGCGTGCAGGTGGTTCAGGAATAACTCGACCTTCCTTAGACACTGTACTACAAGGATAGTAGTATTGAAAGAAGACGGCCAAGGTTCAGAGGAATTGGGAAGTTTGGATTTTTCGCCTACATCTGTATCAAATGCCATCTAAAAATTATGAGGAATATAAGCGTAGACAAATTATGTACAGTAGAGATGATTCAACAAGCAAAAGTGTATATTTTAGTGAAATGAGCAACTATGAAACCTTTAAATTATGTTAATTGGTTTTAATTACAGATGTTTTCAAAGATATTTCTGATAGAGTAACCACATGTGAGCAGATATTATTTTTCCTTAAACTCCTAAAATGCCTGCACATGAGTTTCAGAGTCGACCGTATTTTCAGTAATGGGACTTACTGTTCGGATCCGTACATTATTCTATTATGAAAAATTGTATTCAGAAATTCAACAGTGGACTTAACTAATTGTAAGCTCAACAGAAGCGCGTACACACTAGCAAAAAGATTTAGAGGAGGTGGAACGATGACGTCGTGATCACTTCTTGAACTCAATATCAACCGACTTAAGAGACTTCTAGTACACTGGTTTGCAGCAATGATACATTCAGAAATACACAAAGTTATTTCATTGTCATATAAAATAGATAACCAATTAGTTTCAGCGGAATATAATAGTTTGACCACAGGTGCCTGTGTTCTATCTTTCGTGTGAAATGGTATAATGGGGTGAACGATATTGAGGTCAGGCGTCGTGTAATAGGTAAAGAGGGGAAATCAATAGGGAGGTTGTGAAGTTACATCGACTGAGATGGTTAGGACATGTGTTACGCATGCATGCATCCCTAGCCACCGCCTTCCTCGACGGGCAATGTTAGCCGACATAGGGTCAGGTTGAAAAAGAGCCAGTGGTGGTCAAACCAAAACATGGCTTCATTAGTCAGTCAAATCCACAACAGTTAGTTTAAGCCAGCCATGTACGGAGGTTTAGACTGCTGTCTGGTTGGGGTCTCGGGACGGTAAAAACCAATGGTTGGAAACAATTGGTGATATGGCTCAAAATTGTTCTCAATGGCTGGTGCAGATGCATCCACTCCTTATGATTTCCAATGAAACTATATTGTTCTTCGTTACTGCTATTCCTTTGTCTCACACCTCTGTTTACTGTCTCTATTTTGCGTTTCTTTTTACTTTCTCTCTGGCTTTGTGTGGTACATGGAGTGTGGCGACTCGAACTGCTACATATCGGTGCAAAGTTGAAACCAGTCGGTCAGTCATATAATAGTTTAAAATGAAAACAAATGCAGCTTAGAAGACTAATAAAAATGCATCTTGCTTACACAATACACATTCTTCCTTTATGCACTGGCCCAAGTCACACCTTATATACGAGAGATTATGGCTTCTATCCAACTGTCTAGATTGGAACTCATTAGTCACTGGAGGTTAGGCGTTTAGTCTATTGGGCTACACCTCCATATCGAATAACTAAAAAATATATGTATTCACACATAATTTATGTAAAGAGGTAGTTTACTAATGCAGCAAACAGTTGCATCCACTTACCCAGTTTGTCTGAGGAGTTGATGATTCATTAGTCGATGTAGGCGCTGTACTAGAACATCGTCGAACTGTGCTATCATCTGTAGGCCATACATTAAGACTCATTATAGATGAAGAATGTCTGTCTAAATTGTTCGTAAGACTCGCACAACTCACAGAATCATTGAATCCTAATTCAAATTCAGAAGAACACTTGTTTTTCACTGAACCGGAAATACTGAATTCCACAGGTTTTTTGTTTGTTTCTTGAGCAGTAAACAAGGTATCCAAAGATGATAAATCACTTGCTGTATGACTACTAGTCATTTCATTTGATTCAAATGATTCTGTATTATTCATATGACTATGGTTATCTTCTAAAATGGAATAAATACACACATACATACACACTCACAGAAGCTAAATAAAGCAGCAATGTGATTATGTGAAATGCTTAATACGAGCATATAGAGTACAAATTCTTGCAATTGTTCTTACACATTCAAACAAGTGTAGTCTGCACGGGAGAACTATGTGTTAGCGAATTTAGCACACATTTATGAAGAAACCATACATACCTACATACATACAGATAAAACACAGATGAAGCGCCTTCACAAAAATTGAGATCAATGAAGACGCAATCACATAATTAGCTCAATATAAAAATTATTTGAATTAAATATTAACGACGTGTTTATAGTGTGTGCGTACAGCTTATATAACATGCTGCATAAAACAGCAAAGTTTTATACCTAAATTTCAACAATATATTGAAATTATTTTTTATTATGTAGTTAAAAGATAGGCTCTGCTTTATTATCTCCTACGATATGAAAATCGAATGACTTCAATGAAATGAACACATACGTCATTCATTCTTTTCTCTGATATCAACTTTCTGGGCCGGATTTTCACATGAAAATCCATCGTTTACCGGTCTTATTATTTTATTCCTGTACGTCCTAAGTGGAACATATGGCTTCAATCTAGAACTTTGGGGTTTCGATAGCAGTAGTCCTTAGCCTCATACCCAACCTGTCCTGTTTGCCTATCTTACCAGCGGCTTAGCGAGTGCATCAGCCGGGGATCGAACCCCGGACCACCTGCTTGGTTGGCAAACATTCTACCTCTGTACCAATGAAGCAGACTTATCGGTCATAAACAATATAAATAAGTGCTTTTTCTATAAGCTCTTTTATAAATAAAATATAAACACCATTATACCTCTAAAAATCTGTGGATATGTAAGCTAATAAGAGGGGGATAGTTAGATTTCAGTTTTGCCTTAGAAATGATAAACTTAAAATAAACTTTAAATAAGATAAAAGTTTCTGGACATTTGTCAAAGACAAATATACACCGGTTCTAATAGCTGAAGCGTACACAGGTATAAATTTTAAGAAAACTAATGACAGCCTAAAAGTAGATAATGCGTAAGGAACGAACTCTACTATTTTAAGCGTATGATGACCGGCGTAATGGTCGCAGAGATCAAATGAATTAGTAAATAATGTGTGAGAGTTAAAACTAGTTCATTTGTTGCCTAAATGTAACTTACACAAAAAGATAGGATACATTTGAACTTAAGATAACCAACTTTTAAAATATTTACCCACTGGCCAATGAACTCTCAACTGTTTCAACTGTCATTCAGTTATATGTAAAGCTGGTAAAATAACAGCATACTGAACAACTAAAGTATTCCTAACTTTAGCAATATATCATTGTAATTATAATCTGCTTAAAATGTAAAACGATCCTAAATCCCTTGAATTACACAATAAGAAAGTAAATGTGAAAAAGAAAGTATTAGTATTTTAATAGGTCCTATTATTTGTTCTACTAAAAACTTAAAATACGAAACCTGATATACTTAAATATTTTTGAGGAAATTACATCTATTTAATCGAATTAGTTGGAAAAGAAACTATATAAAAACTTCTTTGTCGGTTAAATTTTCTTAACTAATATGCTATACTGTGCTAGAAAGACAGCAATAAACCAAACAAAAGCATTCAACTTTTTGACCCCTGCACAGTAAAGCTTCATAATTTCAGCAAGTATGAAAAGAAAGAGAAAAAAGTTGAGTGAATACACGGATCAAGAAAAATTCAATCAATCAACGGCAACAACAACCAGTACCAATCACCGTCAACGGGAGAGATTTAACAGAGGTTGTCTTCTTCACTTTATCTGGGAAGCATCGTTTCAACTACATGCGGATGGCACGGATGAAGATGTCAAAACCATTCAGATTCGGAAAGGCAAGATAAGCCTTCATCAACCTGAAACCAGTCTGGAATTCTTCCGCAGTCAACATAAGGAATAAGATTCGCATTTTCAATACCAATGTGCAGTAGGTTCATTTATACGTATCAGAAACTTGCACTGCGTGTCACGGAAAGGATTTCCAATAGATTGCAGATTTTCATCAGTCTTGGGTGGCTCCATACTAAATATCAAACGGCTAGAAAGTATAAGCAACAAGAAACTATGGGAACAAACAAACCAAGAGACGATCGCTCATAAATATGTAGGAAAAAGTGAAGATAGATCGGGCATATCTTGAGGCCACCGAATGACATCGCACGCCAGGCCCTCGAGTGGAATCCGAATGGGAAGCTACAAGTGGGTCGTCCTAGGGTGACATGGAGGAGATCATGTGAGGAAGAGATGAGAGAGTTTGGTCAATCGTTGACCCAGCTGAAGAGCACGACAGAAAACAGAACAAAGTGGAGATGTGTTGTTGAAGCCTTTTGTTCCACTAGGAACGCAAAGGAACAATAATAATATTATGATAATGACTTCCCCTTATCTAAATAAACCTTAATTATCTTCACGTATGATTACAGAAACTCTTATTAATTCAGTCAAATAGTAACCGAAAATAACACAAACTATGAACAGTTGCAAAGATAAATAGATCTTTAAACAGACAGAATCATCTATTTGATTACACCGTCAGACTGTACGATAAGTCGATTACTTTCCATGGGTTACATTTCTTCTACTTACAGAATGCTACATTATACTATGAACTTTAAAAAACTTTCAATAAACATGAAAGCTTACAGTATACTTCTACAAAATACAAAAAAACAGCACACTCAACATGCTGAGCAGCAATAGTAATAAGAATAATTTATCAAAGATAATATAACTAATCTATCAAATCATTCTAGAAATGTACATATTTCTTAATTTCTGCAATCAGCATCTATTAAACACCTTATTTAAAGTTGCTACAACTAGTATTATTATTATTGTCTTCTTTAGTTCCTAGAGGAATACGTCTTCATTGCGTTCGGTTCTCTGTCAATGTTTTCACCTGGCTCCATGTCTTCCCATATGCTTTCATCTCCTCTTCACATGACCTCCTCCATGTCACCTCGAACTGACGACCAACTCGCCGCTTCCCATTCAGGTTCCACTCCAGTGATGGCCTGGTGTGTTATGTCGTTCACTTGATGGTTTGTTTTCCCAGAGTATCGCCAATCCACCTTCACTTCTTCTTGCATATTTGTTGTACAATTGGTTCCTGGTTGGGTTGGTTCGTTCGTTCCTAGAGATCCTTGTTTCTGATTTTTTTCTGGCTGGCCATCTGATCTTGAGTTGTATTGAGAGAAGACAGCTGTTGATGAAGACGTGTAGATTGTTTGAAGTGGCCTTCGTGACGAGGCGCCAAGTTTCTGATCCGTATAGTAAGTAGCACTGATTTCAAATTGGAGTTGAAAATTGGAATGTTATTTTTCATGGTGAGGAGTGGTGGTGATCTCCACATAGACTTGAGAGTGATGAAAGCTTGTTTTGCTTTCCCGATACTCGCTACTATAAATAAATTTGTAGTAAATACTGCAAACACAAAAATAAGTTAAATTTTACCTGAAATAGGGTCTGAGTTAAAATGTATCACTTTGTATGAGCACTTTCATAGGTGGAAGTGCTCACACTGTACTGTTCAATGATAATACACTGATCCATTCAACAATGAATACTCTTCATTGATATAACTGACTGACTGATTTATAACTACAGATTAATACTATTAGTTCCTAAATATCTATTAAAACTTCACCTTCAAACAGCTGAACTCACCATGACTTTATGGTTATTTTGCTTTATTGTAAAGATAACGATATCACAGTACAGACAGTATATCTTATCTCATTTTAAGAATTTAAGTAATATTTTATCCAACTAATTTTAACAAGTACATCAGTGGCACAGCCGTAGAATGCTCACCAACCACGCCTCATGTGGTTCGGGGTTCTATCCCCAGCCAACGCACTCCTTTACCTCGCTAAGCCAGTAGTAAGACGACTGGTGACGAGGGAAGGTTTGGCTTGAGACTAGCAAACCCATCCCGTAAAAATAAACACCACTGCTACTGAAGCTTCAAACCTCTAGCTTGAAGGCGTTATGTTCCACTAAGAACGTAAAGTAATTAAAAAAGAAATCTTAGCAAAGAACTGTCACACCAGTCGCATACATCATATCATAGACTTGAACTTCCGCACATTTGTGCAAAGTTCTATGTCGAAAACAGACAGACAGGCAGACAGACATCATATTAAATTAGCGGGTAACATCATATATACATACAGTTGGAAACTTTAATACCGTAAAATATTGGAAATATAATAATTTCTTCTGTTTATTGGCTATACAAATGTAGTGGATACATTGGACGTAATGATTAAATACTACGGTGTAATGGTAGTATAAAGATAATGACGATGATGATAACGGTAACAGTATGAATAAGAATCAACTACAAATATGGTGCCCAGTGTAATATTGTGGATACACAACAGTCACTCATTCATCAAACGCAATTTTGTAAAGTAAAGCTTACAAAAGTGAAGAATCACCAGATAATTTCGCGCACACTTAATTCCGGCAATGGACAAACAAAATTAATGAACAGCACAAAAAAAAATTGAATGTGTATAAAACTGTGTGCAGAAACCTATTTAAAAATTTTTTAGAAAAAAATGAGTTATAAACTCCAGTGCAGCGTATGGTTATTACAACTATTAGCAAAGAAGAGATATTTCGATTGGCGAATGTACTAATATGGGTTCACATAATGACTATATACACACGTACTAGTTGGCGAAATATTATATTTTCCTTGAAAAATGCTATTTACATGAACTTTACTGCGATATCTTCGTGGAAGAGTGAACAGTTTGCCTAGAGAATATAATAAATGTTATGCATTTTATCTATTAACAAAACACATCTCACACTAAAAAGTAAAATGTTAAGGTACATAACGAGACAAATAAATGTAAAATTCAGTTTTACTTTCGATGACTCACAACTGTTGCGCTGATGTGGTCTAGCATGTTAGAAAATTCGGTTGGATAATAGCAAGACTAAAAGCAGTCATTGCTATTACACAAAAGCTAATTAGTACTGTAGAGAGCTTTGACAACGATTTATGTAAGAAGCATTCTTCGAATAGCCAGTATTCATCCGTTCTGTCTTTCCAATTCAGAAATAATAGTTTAGGAAGAGTCGACTCCGAGAATTAAGCACTTTAACGCTGACCTATACGCTATGCTATGCATAAGACTACCTAAAATCGGAAGTGATTTCATGAGAGCTAACAACTTTAATCATAAATCATTGGCTTTAGGTGAAAATTCTTCAAGCATTGGAATCACTTCCATATATTGTGGAAAGACACCAACTTTTACTGTATAGTCAACCAGAAATTATCAAAACACCTATCTACCTAACAGGCAAGGTCAAGTGATACTACTCACTACTTTAGACTAAAGTGATTGAAGGATTTACCAATATTTAGTAAATATAGTAAGGCAACTCAGAGATTCCCGGCCGACAACTGCTACTTTGTCGTGGTGGTCGGGCTTGAATACCGTAATGACCCAACACGCTAAACTGACTGGGACCTGTCCCTGAAGGTCCTACCATGTCAGGAAGGTTGTTTGGATAGCGGTTAAACTAAAAGCAGTTACCATGGGGTACATGGGCTCCAGTATCCAATCGGATCAAATGGCGTATGAACCCATATGGGTCACCGGAAACCATGGAATGCAGCTCCTCACGCTGCTCCGCGACCTTTCGGATTAGACTCCAAGTCAAAGGCTCCAGGAGTGGTCCCTTAATAAAACCACCTGCTTCGGTCTGGGAGCCCGGGTAGTATCTCAGCCTTCACACAATGAATTGAATAAAGCAACAAACAATCAATGAAACTTATCGCGTGCTATTACACGTGTCACAATTTACTTCCTTCTTCCCTTCCAAATGATAGTTAACGAATACTGTTCGAACTTGTTAAGCATGACTGTTTTCCTTCCAGATGAAGTTCTTTATCCGTTCTCTACATATATATATATATTCTCTTCTTTCTTTTGATCTATGTTGTTTTATTATTCTTGTGTAGCGCATCCTTCTTGGTGTCATATTGTACCAAGTTTTGATGCGTTTAAATAAATAAATAAGCAACTCAGAGATTGAATTAACTTTCCTGAGATACCCTATGAACTACAATCTGGTGAATGAAGACTAAATGATATCATCATCCACTGAAAACCGAACACTTTAATAAATTAAGCCCCTAACAATCGCAAATCGAATGAATCTTGAGATAACTGATAAATGGACGAAATTCGAATATATATATATATATATTTTTCAGTTATATTTTCATTTGTTTAATTATACACCAAAAATCCAAAAAATAATAGGTAAATACCCTAACATCAACTAAAACCTACCACATCACACACAATGAATATTAAAAAAAAACATATCATGTGCATAAAGGTTCATTATAATCACCAGTATAATAAATTTTAACTCTTCGTAGGTCAAAAAATGTTCAAAATGTTGAATATTCGTCATCAGAGAACAATCATTGTATAAAGTAATAACTCAGTTCATTGAAAAAAAATTTTATTTTAAATAACCTCAAAATACTTATTTCGTTTGTTATTTCTAACCTAACAAATTGATATATTGAGAGTTTAACTAATCATTTATACGTCAGGTCAATAAAATGACAGACATAGTGGGCTTGTTTTCAATTCGTAAATTCGCAACATTGATTACATACACGTCTTCACACAGAACCAAATGTTGAAGATAGTAGTAGTTTTCAATGAAAGATTGTATCAACTCAAAAGGAGTTTTAAGTAATATGCATTATGAGGGAATTAGTGTAGTGATCACCCTTGCTTGACTGAGGACACCACATTGGTTGACTATCGTAAACCAGTGGGCAAGAAAATTAAAACCAGAGAATAGTACAACCCAGGTAATATTAATGAGCGATATATGCAACATCTGATGAACCTAACCCCCACCCTCAACAACATACGATGAAAGTCAGTAATAAAACAGCAGAGACGTGGCTCATTGCGGCCTGATTTATCATCAGTCCTCATATAAATATGCCCAGCTTATACTGTGATGCATGAAAAATCTATTCCGGACAAATGAGAGTACTAGTAAAAAAATAAAACAAGGGGCATGTAAACTTGACTAGTGAACTAATTATTAGGTCAGTCATTGTTTTAATCCCCCAAAATTTATTATAAATGAATACCGTTAATGAATTTTAACTCAGGATAAAACATATTAATATTACTACACTTTCAGTTTTTAATTGGTGGATTGTGGATTCAAACTCTCCTCTCTACTTACTAAATTTAGGATAACGATGTCGGATCACCCTACTATACACAACAGATATTGTTCATAGCCTAGTGTACAAAACTATATAATCTCCTTGACTAGTATAAAAAAAAGCAAATAAACAAACTAATTACGCAAAGTCTGTTAGTTTAAAAATAAAACTTTTCTATAGTTTGGTCTGTAAGGATTAGTTATGTTTTTACGAATTGATCCAGGATTGATATCAGTTAGAGAACCATTGAAAACCTGCACTGGAGTACTGGACAGCTGGTGTTTCATCCTAGTTTGGGAATCATCGGGAGTACGCACCCACCACCAGGGTTCGAACCCAGTACCTTCCGGTTACAAGGCAAGCTCGTATACCATTCAGCCACTGGGACCCGATTCAATGGCTCGTGAATTCTAATTTCTACCAATTCGTGATTTAGCGCGACCCCAACTAACCCTTACAAACCAAACTATAGAAAATTAATCTGATGCTCGCTAGTGACTTACTACAGGTTGGAGTTTCCTGAGTTCTAGTGAGAAGTCGTGACCAGTGAGGTCCAATTAGGTGTCACGTGTGTGGATGGATGTCCCACCAACGACAATGGTTAAGGTCGCGCTAAATCATGAATTGGTAGAAGTTAGAATTCACGAGCCATTGAATCGGGTCCCAGTGGCTGAATGGTATACAAGCTTGCCTTGTAACGGGAAGGTCCTGGGTTCGAACCCTGGTGGTGGGTGCGTACTCCCGATGATTCCCAAACTAGGATGAAACAGCAGCTGTCCAGTACTCCAGTGCAGGTTTTCAATGGTTCTCTAACTGATATCAATCCGTGATCAACTCGTAAAAATAATACACCAAGTGTATTTCTCTTACACCTTCAACAAACCCACAGCAAATGAAATAGAAATGAGGATAAAAAAAGTTACTAAATTATAGAAACCAGAAATAAATAAATAATAATTACTTTTAGTCCATGTATTACAACTATATCCACGTGGACGTATTGTAGTTATTGGATTCCCTTTACCTAATGTACCACACGATGATGCGCCAGCATTTCGAATACGCATTGAACCACCAGTAGCAAATAGTTCTGATGTCGATGATGATGATGATGACGGTGGGGGAGGAGGAGGAGGAGGAGGTAACAAAGGCGGTAGAGGTAATGCATTGATCAAAGCTTGTCCAGTTACAGCAGTTGACTCTGTATTAACTGGAGTACTTTGTTGTGAAGGCATAGTTGTCCGCGGTGACCGAAATGTTGATCCAACACGATGGTCAATAAGTACAGGATTTTGTGAATTAGCATTGTATTTAAGACCTTTTAGTGTTTCTGGGAGTTTTGGACGAGATCCAGGTTTATCACTATCATATTTAGTTGTTATTCCTGGAGCTAATTCTCCGACAGGACGAATATTAACCTAAACGTAGAGAAATATAAATATACATATAAACTTTAGCTTGCATACAGGTTTATAAACAAAAGAAAGAGAACTTTATAGGGATAAATTCTAACAAATACTTCCCAGAAGTGTGTTATATGCTAGTTTGTAGATGTTCCTAAATCAATGAATCATACTAGCTTGTCTATTCACTTTCTAATTTTATATACAGTTATATATGATGCATCAAGAGATGCTGTTTCGTAACTCTATTGGTAATTCTCATATATGTGACAGTAATTGATTGTAAGTTTATTAATGTTTGTCTTAGTTCACTCAAGTATTATAAAAACTAAATACATAGAGTTTTCGACATATTCCAACTGTCTGTCAGACTAAAGGTCTGAATTTCGGTTATCCTAATAATATAAGATAACTGCCACAATCTGTGTGGTTCTTTTTTTTGAGAAATGCAGGTACATCCAGATGACGAGTCCCAAATAGGGCGAAATGCGCATCCTGGATTCCACTGCTAGTCACCATCCACCAATTAAATACTGTGTGGTTCTTGTTCGATTCTGGATATAACTTCAGGTTAGTACTAATTCTGGAAAAATTACTCCTTAATTCGACTGGAAAACTAGCGCATATATTTCTACGTTAAGAAATTTTGATGGATGGTGACCAGCAGTGGAATCCAGGATATGTGTTTCATCCTGTTTGGACTCGTCAACAGAATATGTCAACATTTCAAAAGAGTGATAGTGTTCCCAATGAGAATCGAACCAAGTACCTATCGTTTTTCATGTGTTATACGTGGTTTAATCGACATCTTGATATCAGTACTGCAAGTGGAAAAGAATACTAAAATGAAGGACGAATTAACGTGTCTTCAACAAGTGAAGTAGGCCACACAGTCAACAACTGAACTTCATCTATACACGCTTGTTTGAAATTTCAGTATCATTCGTTTCTCTTTATTTCACTGATGAAATGTAGTGTTCAACAGCTAATTATCATTTCGACATATAAAAATTATCTTGCTAAGGTTAATAATTTCAACATTAAAAATTTAGGTCTAATGAAAAACACTTTAAAGAAGCATTTGCATATATTTTATAACTGTAAATCATAAAATCGATATCTAAATGAAAGCGTAGTTCAAATTAGGGTTATTGAATGCCAAACTTTCAATAATACAATAGTCTCATAGGTATATTTCCCTCTTTGAAATAAGAAGTGAAATAATACACAATGGATAAATTTTCGAGTGTCATTTTGCAGGAATTTGATTGATTCCAAGTTAGACCATGGATATTTATCAGTTAAACAACCATTGAAAATCCTGGAGTGCTGGACAGCTGTTTCGTTCTAGTTTGGGACTCTTCAGTAGTACACACTCATGACCTACTGGGACAACTGACTGGCAATGCCAACTAATATAAATTCAAATCGAACCTTATGTCATAAACCAGGCAAGATATAATGACTACTACCAACGACAGAAATAGCAGTATGGCGTTTAGATTATTATTATTATTACTATTATTATTATTATTTTAATTCCTATTCTTAATATATAAGTCCATCTTGTTATTGATCACATTTTGACCTGTGACTGGTAATAGTTCTGGGACTTTTTCAACCCCTTGTTAAATATTCAATAATGAACAGTTTAGCTGATGACTTCGTCAAAAGGAATTTTCTCGATGCAAATGTCTTTTGTTTTTCTATGATCCCCTATTGGTATTTTCCTCCGTCTACGAAATTCCAGACTGTTACACAGGTACTTAGAAAGAAAACAATCAGTGACTTGTGTAACAGCTGCAATGATCCAAAAGCCTCTTTGTGATTCTGTTAAGAAAAACTGGCAAAATACAACAAGTAACTGGAAAATATACAAAAATGCAAAAAAAAACGCCAGAGTTGACAACACTTTCAGCAGAAAAAAAGTAGATTAACATAAATGAAATAGTTGCACCATTGACACAAGAATAGAACTTTTGCACTGTGGTAGAGTATAGTTCCATTGTTGCATATAAAACGTGAGTTTATATCATTACCGAGAGTCACACATTATTATTATTGGGAAAAATGAGTGAACTTCAAATGTACACAGTTAGGAGACGCTCAGTTGGAAACAATTCTCTTTCTTACTCTACTTATAACGAAAGACTCGAAATTTGCGATGAATACTGAGCAGAAGGATAGTTGTTATACAAGGAAATTCATATAGATGGAAAAGGATTATTATTATTATTGTTCCCTTGGGTTCCTAGTGGAACATAGGGCTTCAACTGCACGTCTCCACTTGCTTCTGTCTTCCTTCTGCTGTACTTTTCACCTGCATCCATGTTAGTCCATACTTTTTCAACTCCTCTTCACAAGATCTCCTCCGTGTCACCCTTGGACGTCCCACTCGCCGCTTCCCTTTCGGGTTCCACTCGAGCAATGGCCTGACGCGCGCGCGATGTCACCCAGCGGTCTCCTCAGCGAGTGACCGATCCAACTCCACTTTCTCCCGCATATTTGTTGGGCGATTGGTTCTTGTTTTGTTTGTTCCCAGCCATAGTTTCTTGTTGGTGATTCTTTTCGACCCGGCCATCTGATCTTCAGTAAAGAGCGAAGAAGGTTGTTGATGAAGGTCTGCAACAGGCTGTTGGAAATATTCTTTGTGACCCACCCGCCCGCCAAGTTTCTGATCCGTACAGAAGAACTGACTTACTTGACGTTTGTATTGAAAATCCGACCGAATTTTGTTGTTGATGCTGGCTGAGTGACGAAGATTTCCAGATTGGTTTCAGGTTGATGAATGCGTTTCTCGCCTCCCCGATTTTCGCTCGATTTGAGATCCTCGTCCGTTCCCACTGGCTGTAGTTGAGACAATGCTCCCTAGATAAGTAAGTGAATGAAGTAACCTCTTTCGAATCCCTCCCGTCGATCGATGGTGATTGACGCTGGATGTTGCTGCTGATGTTGTTGGTTGGTTATTTTCATAACCTCCGTCTTGTCTCTGTCCATCTGGAGTCCTGTCTTCGCCGGCTGCTTCTTCGACCAGTTTGTCGGTTTTCGCTTGAAGTCTTCGATTGTGTGTGACATCAAACATAAATCATCCACGCGCGAAATCCAGGTCCCCTAGGTTCTTCACGTCGGTCCAGGATATCCCTGTCCCGTTTCTCGTTTCCCACTGTCTGACGCATAATCCAATCAGTCCACCACAATTAGGAATAGCATTGGTGATAGTAAGCCAGCACCCTTGTCTGACTCCTGTGTTTACTCCAAACGCCTCGCTGAGTTTTCCGTTGTGGATCACTTGACATGCGCCGTTGTCGTACAGCTGTTGAATAAGGTTGATGAATATTTGGGAGCTGCACGCCATAGTACTCGAGCAGTTTCCAAATTACTTCACGGTCAACGCTGTGGAAGGCGTTCTCAAAGTCTATGAAGTTGAGGTAGAGGTTTGATTGCCACTCCATGCTTTGTTCGATGATGATGGAAAAGGCTGCTTTCGGCAAATTTGAAGCGATAAAACACTGAAAACAAAACAGTACAGTACATTTGCTTGATCAGCATCATCAAGAAGTCCTCACCAAAACTTATTTCTTATTTGAATGAGGAATCTTGTAATGACGACTATATTATATATGATACACTGAATTGTTTCAGCTATAATCAATTTTTAAATTCAACTTATGCTGTAATATACATAAGCTTATGTTTCAGAAACACACATGATTAGCCCTGAAAGCTATAAATAACTATAAACCAAAGTTTTCACTTACGAAGCTAGTTTGTAACCACAATTGATGCACGATAAAATACAACCACAAGACGGAGAGATCTGGCTCATCGGCTAAGTCAATGGGTTCAGGGATTTGAATCCCCGTTCACCTACTTTAACCTAAGTAATAAAGTAGCATGATTAGCTCTCGCAAAGACATTGGGAAGTCTTTCTCAGACAAATGAGTTCTAAATATCTAAAGGGGCTATCAGGAGACGCATTTAGGTGGAAACTTAAGCAACTTCTATTCACTCAAGAAGTCAATGGACAACAGTTCACGAGTACAACTTGTATTCTAACAATTTCCAAAGTTACATAAACTTTTGAAGAAAACGGCTGTATATTTAGTTTTAAAATATCATATATATATATATATATATATATATATAAAATAATATATATATATAACCAGAAACAGTCAGTCATGCAACCCACATTCCATATGCTTTTTTGCGCTACACCTATTTCTACAATGCAAGAAATTTAAATCACAGTTGGCTGCTGAAAATCTCCTCGGGTTTAGAGTGAATTCAAAACGATAAACACACCGACTGAAAGTTGAATTACCGACAGAACAAGATAAAGGACTACACACTTTGCTACATGGGATTCCTTAGTATAAATTCGCCCATAATAATGAGGCATATTGGTATTGATCAATCTTCTTTAGTAATTTGAAATATACAAGGCTGTAAAAGAATACATGAACTTACTTTCAAACCATGAAATGTTTTATTTGCTTCATTCTCTGATTCATCTTCAGAGACGGAATCATCAGCTTCAGAATGATCCAGATTGGCACCACTTTCCCCCCATGGATCTGATGGTCTGATATTATATCCATCTTCATCTTTTGGTAATTCTACAGGCGTTGCCGTCCGCCAATCATCGCTTTTTGAAGTTATTGTATCTAACTCATCAATAAAATAAACAGAAAATAACGAAAAACGTTATATGTAAATGAAATTATTCTATTTTTGAATCTAACACGCTATGTAACAAGATTTCTTATTATGCATAGTGACGGACATTTTTTTATTTCTTTTTATTTTATTACAGATTGATTCCACACAGTATTTCGGCACAGGTATGGAATTTTCAGCAGGTCAACCAGGTGTGCGTCGGCCGATGGTCGAACCGTGGACCATGTGCATGGTCGGCGAGCGTCCTAACAGCTGTACCACAGACGCATATTTCCTATTCAAATTGCAAATTTTCTGGTAGTTTGAATGCTTTAGAAAAGTTTAAATATTAAGAGATGAAGAGTTTAGATATAGGTTCATGTGGGCACTTTAGTATGCTTACTGGATCCCTCCTAAAGGAGTCATACTTCAGACAAAATACAGTGACAGGATAAATAACAGCTTCACATACAAAACAAACATCAACGCTATCTAATGTGATTCAAATTTATAAGTTGTATGTTTAGAATCCGAATACTTCCCAACGAACACCATAGCCATTACGAATTATCTACTAAACCAATTATGGGTAAGTGTTTAACAGGTTCTAACACAAAATGATGTTATGCTGTACTTCTTAACTAACTAATATTGTCATTTTTGTAGGTTAGCACACGGAAAACCAACGACAGCAACTAAAAAGTCAATTCTAGCATATATGGTCATCCATAAATATCATTTTATTTAGGATCTTCGAAAGGGATATCTAAATTAAAAATATAATCTCATATCGAGTAAAATTTTTGAAATTAAAAAAAAGATTGAGGCCTTTCTTAAGCATAAATGCAGACTATTAGTGTTTACGTATTAAATCTACCTGATTTATTCACTTGCTTTGTTTGCTTATCCTTGCCATTTGAATAGGGAGTACCAAATCGACGAATTCCGCGTTTTGCAACAACAGTAAAAGCACTAAGACTACTGCCACTGGTATTAATCCCGGTAGTAGCACTAACTGAGGTAGATGATCCTGTTGGATTACTTTCATTGGCAGTATGATGAGCAGAATCTTGAGATAAGGAATTACGGCGTCGACGAAAAAATCCTTCCCTACGTTTTGTATTTCCGTTACCAGAGACAGAAATATTCGTTACTGACGGTGCAACTCCAACAGAAATACTAGCGACAGAAACTGCATCGGCTCTTACATCTGTTAAACTGTTTAGACTTAATTCCCCATTATCTTTACTGCCAGAACCAACAACTGTGAAAAGTAGGGAAATAAAACAACGATATTACTACACGAAATACTTTTGAAAATACAGTTAACCAGCAATAGAAATGGGGTATTTAACTGGTCAGATATAATGACTACCGTCTGGGTATTACATTGTATCCTACCTTCATAACTCGCCAGGTAAAATTACAGAAAGGGGAATATAATCAATCCCCTAGGACACTTTGATTTTCTCTATAAACTAATGTAGTTGGAAGGTGATTTATAATGCAACTGCTCAAGAAAGTCTGTCTGTCTGTCTGTTTTCGACTCAAGAAAGTACAGGTTCATTGAGTAAGTTGAAAGACATTTTCACTACAAGCATAACAGATACTACTCATCTGAATTGATATTTTCAGCGCATAACCTAAGGAATGAAATCAATGGTCATTTGAATGTAAATATCATTCATGTATAAATAAATATGCTGTACAGTGATGTTAAATTACGAAATGGCAATACATCAGAAACATGTTGTGAAAATGAGAGATAAGAAGTTTTACAATGTAGTGAAATCTTCAACTCGAGTCTAATTGAATCACAAAGCATAGTCGTACCAACAAACCCATGCAATCAAACTTGCATTTCATTCACTCATGCACAAAAATTTCAAAAAGGACTAAAAAAACCCAAAATTTCACCCAATCACCGGTTTAACTACATCTATGAAACAGATATTATATAACAAAGGGATTATGTATTCCACGTAACATGCTACTTAAATATTTATCAAATAATATTACTGTAGGAAAATATGATTCAAAATAAATAGATGTGACATAAGTTCTTAAGTTCCATCCTCCTTTGAATCCTAGACATTACCAGTTTATACTTATGTATTGCCACCACTGCCTGTCATTCTGTTTTGCCTTCAAAAGCACTAACGAATACATTAAGTGTAGATAAGGCCTATGCACACGATGAGGGTGAAGACTTAGCAAGGAAGCATTTATGTGAATATAAAGAATGTCTCAGAAGTTGCATTTTAAAATATATAGACATGTATAACTACGTTCAATTGGAGAAGATACCTTCACTGTGAATGTTTTCTATAATAGGTTTTTCCAGTGAAAAAATACATCGTTATTGATTTCTGTATCACTCAGCAATTAATCGTTAATAAATTTTGAAGAGTGTGCAATGAAAGTATGTCATACAAAGAGATTCAACCAGAAAACAAGTTTATTTGCTTTTTTCGAATAATAGTATTAGCTAAAAACTGGAAACAATCTGTGAAGTTACTAACTAGTGACCTGGGTCACGTGGAATGATGCAGATATATATTGATAAAGACCTACGGAGTATTCATCGTGGGATACAAATGAAATCACTCCTTGAGATATTTTTGAAGTTCTAGATATTTTAGATAATCCTGTTTAGTTTATTCTTTCGACAGCACTGTTTTGTTCATTTCACTATCACTGCAACATTTATATTCCCTTCTTTTTACCTAACTCCTAGGAGTTTGGCAACTTGAACTCACTCATGCACATACCTGCAAAGACTGACACTGATTTGTCTATCTGTATGGTATTTCCAGCCATTTATAAGGTCTATTTGGATATGATCCACTGAGCTGTATCAAGCTGATTAAGCGTACTGTTGTAAGAAACTCTGTGTCACACTGAATTTCTGTCTTTGAGTATAACGTTTCAACGTAACACTGGGAAAACTGCATACGAAATTTCGAAGCAAAAACTAGAATGAAGAGATGAAAAACTCTATGATGTTTTGCTGTATTCTTTCCTGGAAGATAAATAGTGAGTAATTGGTTGGTTTAATCAGTAAATGAGAAGACGTCCAGCGAAGAGACTCTCTTCGGCGAATTCATTCACATAACTGTCTCTATTATGCTTTTCTTGTACTTTCTTCTCTTGCTTCGCGTGCTACACGGAATGTGGCGACTTGAACTTCCGCACATTTGTGCAAAGTTCTATGTCGAAAACAGACAAACAGAGACAATCGCATTTATATATAAATTATTTGTGTGTGTGTGTGTACATGAGGTTTGTCAAGTTTAGATAATTGATCAGGTAATAAAAGAATGATGTAATATAGAAACAAGGTTAATGAGACAGCAACTAAAGTAAGATTGAGTTAGTAAGCTACATGACGTAATGTAATTGACTAAAATGTTTCAACTTAGGTCAGGATAGCAACCGAGGTAATTACAGGTAGAGACTAAGTAGAAGTGGGGTAGAGAATAATGCCATTTATATTAGAACTGAAATTGAGTAAATAAGTTGGATGACATAACATAAATGACTAGAAATTGAATGTTGGTCAAGTCAGTAACAGTGGTAGTGATGTGTAGAAACTAAATCGGGTGGGGGTGGAGAAAATATTACAATTGAGAAGACAAAATAATACTAATGAAGAGACAGAAAAAAAGGTTAGGTAGGATTTACTTCTCGCGTAATAAGATTACGTCCATTTTAAGTGTAATGATTGAACGAACTTCTTCTGTATGCAGAGTCAGGGCTTAGCGAGTGAATCGCCATTGCTTCTGCAGTTTGAAGAAGTCTGATTCGGACACCATTAGGAAGACCACTTCTTACTCTGTAGACTACTTTGAAGTTTGTTTGGGGTATAGCTTGGTGTCAGGATTCTATCAGATATGCTAAGATGGAGCTGCGGGGACATCGTTTTTCTACTTTGTAAAACCATGTTGGTAAGTGTTCAGTGATACGTTTGGAAAGCGAACGCTGGGTACGGCCAACATAAGTTGACATAAGTTGAAACATTTTAGTCAATTATATTACGTCATCTAACTTACTAACTCAATCTTACTTTAGTTGCTGTCTCATTAACCTTGTTTCTATATTACATCATTCTTTTATTACCTGATCAATTATCTAAACTTGACAAACCTCATGTACACACACACACACAAATAATTTATATATAAATGCGATTGTACAGTTATGTGAATGAATTCGCCGAAGAGAGTCTCTTCACTGAACGTCTTCTCTTTTTCATGTGACTTAAGTTGTAAATGTTTACTTTGACAGTAGTATGACCTACTAATCGAAATCTTTCAGTTTTTTACGTAATATTAGAAACAGAATATTTAGTTATGTAAATTACTTGCGAGAGCAGAAGCAGCTCTGGCTTCACGGCCGAAAAAAGCTTCCAAAGCGCGAACACCATTTCCTGTTGTTCCATTTGCATGTTCAGCTCCATTAGATGAAAATGCAGCGGCTACTTCTGCGTCTTCAAACTGTACGCCTTGTGGCTCAAGAGTTCCAGTACCCCTTTCGCTCACAAGAATATTTAATAACCTGTCTGTAGTTAACTCAGCCAAATCTTGATCAAACTGATTGTGTAGTTTACCCAAGGCATCACCTGTAACAGACCATACGGACGCATAACGGTGCAGAAATTCTCTCATCTGCTCTAGGTGGGCAACTTCAATTTCCTATCGCAATGTAAAACAGAAATAGGATAGAACAAGATTCAGTAGTGACCAATTACAACACATTAGAATATATTCACAATACACATAAGCAAGTGAATCAAAATCTTTAGTTGGATGTATAATCTTGTTTAAAGGTAAGTTGTGTGCTACATTCAGCAATAAACGAATGCTAACATGATTTCTGAATGTTTCGGTTTTAAGTCTGAATTAAATCACTAATTTAGGGTCATGGCAGTGTTGAAGTTAAGATGACACACGTATCTAATAACTATTATTTTTTATTGCAAAGCTGATATCAATGAAGCGTAATAACGAATCATATCTTGCTTAGAATAGATTCTAGAATACATGAAGGAATAAAATGACAAAGATATGTAAAAAAAAGAATAAAACTTATTTTGTAAACCCTTACTTTTAAACGTCACGAGTCAAGCTCCACTAGACGAAAAACACTCGATAGAAACAGACATATAATGCGGACATATCAGTTAGGGAACGATTAGAAACCAAGAAGTACTGGACAGCTGCTTTGTCTTTGTGTAAGACTCTCCATAAGTATGCACCTATGACCCTACCAGAGATCTAACCAAGGACCTTCAGATTATGAGGTGAGCTTGTTAGTCATTCAGCTACTGGGAGGGAATCCAAAGGCCCATTAGTTCGAACTTTTGACAGCTAGCGACATATAGCGTAACCGCCAACCAATCTGATTGGCAAGTATTTCTTCTCACACCCCATTTGATGAACCCTACTGGTCAGTACTTCCCACCGGAACTTCAACCAAATTCAAAATACTTTTCCAGTGTTGATTTGCAGGGATTCGATTGATTTTAAGGTTGGTCACGAACTGATTTCCTTTTACTGACATATGGAAACAGACTGGGTATAAAGAGGATAAAACATAGTACGATCTTCCTGTTTGTTTTGTTATTACTATATTTTAGTCATTATTTGTAATCTTGTTAATTTGACCTTCGATCGAAAATATTTCCGGAACTTTTTCACCCATTTACTATATATACGCGAATGCACAGCTTAGTTGATGGTTTCGCCGAAAAGAACATAATAATTGATACAGACCCCACCTCCGGTGTCCTATAGCACCATCTTGAACCTGACAAGGATGAAATGTATGCTAAATATATTCGGAACTTCGCCAAGGAAACTGAAGAATCTGTGTATCTTTCTTCAAGTATTGGTTTTTGTAGGGATTTTATTTGGTTGGCTGCAGGATTTTATCATGTGCTGACATCAGACAACCGTTGGAAAACCAACTGGGAGTACTGGACAGCTGTTTTGTCCTATTTCAGGACTTTTCAGCAGTACACACCCGCCGGCACCAGTGGCTTAATGCTCTGCAAACTCGCCTTGTAACCAGAAGGTCCTGCGTTCGACGACTGGTGGTGGGTGCGTACTACTGAAGAGTCCCAAACTAGGCTGACTAAACAGATGTCCAGTACTCCCAGGTTTTCCAATGGTTCTCTAACTCATGTCAGCTCATGATGAAATCCTCCAACCAATATATGTATCTCACTAATGTAAACGCACAACCATTTACCTGTTAACCTTCCAGAGTTAACATGCGGTGGGTTAAATGAAACAGTCTACATAAATATCAAGTGGTTCTCTAACTGATGTCAGCTCATGATTAAATCCTCCATGCAAATTGAAAATGTCTTTCATAATAAATGAATGAGTGGCTCGCAAAGTGATGAAATTATAGAAATCAATGTAAAAACTAATATCCATATCTATGCATGTTTCTCTGACTCGACAACTGTATTTAATCATTCTCACAAAAGAAAACCTATACAAATTCCTGAAATCTCCAAGTTTTTCCTAACAAATCTAACAATGATATCAACAAACACTCAATTAGCCAACTATTACCGGATAGTTAAGAGAAATTCATACATACTGACCAGAATTCACCAGGGAGAGGTTGTATGTTTGAATGTAACTCTGAGTTACGCTGAAAAGTTAAACGCATATCAGCTATTTTAAAACCGTTTGATCAGCACGCAGGTACATTATATTATTTACTGAACTAAGTAAATCTCACAGGCTGTATTGAAAGTTTAAATTACCTCAAACTGAGCACACGATATGTGCATTTTGCTCACAAACTGATTACGCAGGTTATTATACTTTTCCACTGAATACTTGTATTCATCTTGAGCTTTTTTAAGCTTCACTTCCAGTTTTTCTTGCTCTCGACTAGAACCAGATTCCAAGCGCATAGCACGTTCATATTCACTGTAACGTGAATGATATGCTTCCTTAGCTTTCTGAAGCTGCATAGAAGTCACCTATATCACAAAACAATAAAATAGAAAACGTTCTCATTAGGAAATAGAATGACCAGAACTGTAACAAAAAATAGTAGTAATATTTCACGTTCAACAACAATGAGTAATCCATACGTGTATAGCAGATTACTCAAGATACTAATCCAAGAACTCAGTTGATGCTGATATTACCCATTCGGCAATGCAGACTAATTAGCTGGTGTACCTGAAGCACTAACAACTAATGGTTTGGGATATGGGTGGCATGGAACAAATACCATCAAAAATTTTACTAAAACAAATTTGAAAACGAACAGTTCGCCCAGAAACAAAAGACTTGAAATCAGAATACACACATGGTCTTATTTGTTGAGGGCGATTAGTTGACCAAGTACTACACACACAAATGTAAACTTGTTTTTAGTGAACACTACAAAAAGTAGTTTCGAAATAAAAATATCAGAGGTCAAAAACAACAGCCAGATCTCTTCAACGAGCTACGAAATACATGTTTTACGAACAACCGGATAAAAGGTGGCGATCAACAATAGTGCATCAGGTTATTCGCTTATTAATCTAAGTCTGAACTTTATTTGAGTGGGACATAGCAAAAGAACGAAACAGAAACAGCAATATTGAAAAATACAAACAACAATGAGAAACAAGTTAAAGTGACGGAAAAAAGGGTAATACAGTAAATGTGTAATATGTGGAGTAAGCTATTGGTCTAGATTTGCATTCACTTAGAAATATGTTACATGAATTCTCTAACCGATGATTTCCATTAGTTATTTGGCCGTAAATACAAATATTTCAGTCCGGTTACCCTCTGACTAGAACTGCGTTCCGTGATACCCGACCGATTTCAGAGTTATAAACAATGTTATTTTTGAGCATATCATCCACCAAGGTGAGGGCAGGCGTGTTTGCATCGGAGGATCACTGTCTGCGCAGATATCTTTAAGGGGTTAGCTGTCCTCCACCGATCCCTCGCAAAGATTAATGATAGGGATATGGTTTATCTATGCTCACCGCTGTGTCATAGTACGCAGATATCACATCAGGAAACCTTCCCTTTGACACCAGAAAAGTTTCCCCAGGAAAAGGTCACATCTGAGTGCAAGTGAAATTCACAAATGCTGAATTTGGCTGGGTTATCAACTTTCTACGTAGCACAAACTGCTTATTTAACCAGTGAAATCATTCATCACAACTACTACACGTTATGGCTTCATTGCTTGTAAAAAATATAGGTCAAAGCTGAATTCGTCCTCACAACTAGGATTATATCAAGCACCAACACAAGAAAGGATTGGCAATTCCTCTTAGCTCCTACAGTAGCTTTCAACTGAACAAATCATATGCGACCAATAAATGCCACTTATATACAAGTGCATACTACTAAAATTCGAAACTCGACACAGTGAAAGCATCCAAACGCGATCATGAACCTACACATTTCATCCCAAGATTACATAAAAATCTGAATACATCGTATGGACAATTACAAAGCATCCACACCTTTCGTATTAGCAAATATTCTAGATTAGGTGGTCTAGAATACATAACGAAATCAAAGCCTTATACCAAACGCTTTGAAAAACAACCGAAGCGTGTTAAATAAAAAACATCTAAATTAGGCGATTCAGTTATTCGTGAACCTAGATTTATGGCATAAAATAATGGGTCGATCCCACAAACTTCAATTAAGACATGTTGTTTCTAGAACATACATACAATTGTGTGGCTTTTGTGTCTTGTGAATGAAATTATCACTGTTACTTCTTGTGAGAATAAAACCAAATAAATATATGAGAGTTGTTTTAATATATAAAACATGACTGAATTACTAATTGAACAATATTACACGCACATTAGCAATCAAACAAAATTAACCAGTTAAACCAGGAAAGCTTCATCCCTTCAAGGTTCTTCAAACTTATATTACGCCTAACTACGCGCAACCCACCTCAGTAAGTAAGAAAATAGTGGAACAGTGAACATAGAATAAGCCTATCAATTGCAGGTCTAGATCATTGGGAAACTTGTATCTTCCATGCAAAATTTCCATAACCGACTAAGCGGACTTTGTATACTAATAAGTATGCAGTAAAGTGCGAATAATACCAAAAGGAAATCAAATATAAAAGCCTGTAAAAACATAGCACTTTTCACTTATATTTTGCAGCACATTCACACAATCGAATTGAAGTGAAGGGGTAGAATGACATTACTTCCCTGATAGGCACATGCAAACAATAACTGAAGCTAGCCAGAATTATTTACCTGAAATGCATGCACCACTTCTTGAGTAGAAGCTTCTGTATCCTTAATTAGCTTCTGTCGTTTATGTTGCTCTTCAAGATACTTTTGTACATCCCTTGATAAATTTTGTCGTTCTTGAGCAATGTTCAGATGAACTTGGGAGACTTGGTCGATGAGCTGTTTTAACAAGGACCAACAAGGCTTGAAACTGCTAGTGTTATTGTAAGAACCTGCTTGTTTTGACAATTTAATTAAAGCTTTGTAATAGTTGTCTTCCGCAGAATAGCTCTCCCGTAAGAACTCTGCGAACTCAGCCGAAGTGCGGTAGCATAATTTGAAGTTCTGGTACATAGCATCAAATCCAGAGTGCTTCTCTCCCCAAAAATGCTGAGAAAATAAACATGCGCTCATTTCGGTATATCCGTATTGTCAATTTAACTGCTGTGTCTAGTGACTCATCCTAGTATATTCCAACGATGTGTTCTGGCGATTCGCCGCAATGTAACAAAGATAAATATTCCATAAAACTGAAATGGTCTATTATCCCAACAAGCACCCTTTAACTTTAAAGGAATTACGAAAACCGATGTCCAGTAACACACCTTTTAAACCAAGCGCATACATTCCAACATTCAATATCAGATACAGATTTCTTGACTGAGAACAGAAGGCTTCGAGTCTGTATCGATCCCATACTAACAAACACCTGTGCCTATCTGATCCCTTCTTAACCGCACACATCATCTCTCTTGGAGTCGGTTTCAAAAGTTCAAGACTCGGTTGGAAGATTGGCACTACACACCGAAATAGTTTGTTCTTGGCTTTTGAACTATACTTCTGTGTGCCCTGAGATGTTCCTACAAGTTGAGATGGAAAACAGCAGGCAAGGCAGGTTCATGATCATGTCTTAGAATTTAGAACATTCAAATGCTATCTCTACTTACGATGTGAAAAGTAGAAGGGATTCAAACTGCTGTCTTGCCTAGTACGATGAGTAACTCATCCCAAAATTAAACGTGTGGCCTCCCTTTCAGTCCTTTTTAGAATGTATCAGTCTCTTCTCAAATATAAGAGCTAGATTAAGTTTTCCAGTTTCAACTCTCAAGAGATTTATATGGGGCAGTGAATATTTCACTGGTGACTCCAGTCAAGGCTCAGTGCGTATACCCCACCGCCCGACACCCTGTCGTTGTTTTAGGCAATGGCTCACTATGACACCTTGATCCATGAGTGTATGGACCGATTTGAGTACTGTTCCTTCTCTGATACATTGGTTGTGAGCATCGATTCCATGAAACAATTTAATGGTTTCTTGGGATCTCCGTAAAATATGAGCATGTCATTGTTCTCATTTATGCTGTAATAATCATTCTGGCAGAAAATGCTGTAGATCACAGTAAACAGACCTGCTATGTGAGCTGTCGACTAATTTTCCTGGTCCCGTTCTACTGCGTCGTTATTAGCAATCAGTTTTAGATCTTCGTTTAATATCTTATTCCTGAAGCCTATGTACGAGAATATTTTCTCAGGCTGTACAGGCAGATACATTTCAGACCGTAACTAATGAATTCTGGCAATAACTTTATTTCTGGTCATGGTGTACGACTTTCTGACTCTCTTCGGCGAATTCATTCACATAACTGTCTCTATTATGCTTTTCTTGTACTTTCTTCTCTTGCTTCGCGTGCTACACGGAATGTGGCGACTTGAACTTCCGCACATTTGTGCAAAGTTCTATGTCGAAAACAGACAAACAGAGACAATCGCATTTATATATAAATTATTTGTGTGTGTGTGTGTACATGAGGTTTGTCAAGTTTAGATAATTGATCAGGTAATAAAAGAATGATGTAATATAGAAACAAGGTTAATGAGACAGCAACTAAAGTAAGATTGAGTTAGTAAGCTACATGACGTAATGTAATTGACTAAAATGTTTCAACTTAGGTCAGGATAGCAACCGAGGTAATTACAGGTAGAGACTAAGTAGAAGTGGGGTAGAGAATAATGCCATTTATATTAGAACTGAAATTGAGTAAATAAGTTGGATGACATAACATAAATGACTAGAAATTGAATGTTGGTCAAGTCAGTAACAGTGGTAGTGATGTGTAGAAACTAAATCGGGTGGGGGTGGAGAAAATATTACAATTGAGAAGACAAAATAATACTAATGAAGAGACAGAAAAAAAGGTTAGGTAGGATTTACTTCTCGCGTAATAAGATTACGTCCATTTTAAGTGTAATGATTGAACGAACTTCTTCTGTATGCAGAGTCAGGGCTTAGCGAGTGAATCGCCATTGCTTCTGCAGTTTGAAGAAGTCTGATTCGGACACCATTAGGAAGACCACTTCTTACTCTGTAGACTACTTTGAAGTTTGTTTGGGGTATAGCTTGGTGTCAGGATTCTATCAGATATGCTAAGATGGAGCTGCGGGGACATCGTTTTTCTACTTTGTAAAACCATGTTGGTAAGTGTTCAGTGATACGTTTGGAAAGCGAACGCTGGGTACGGCCAACATAAGTTGACATAAGTTGAAACATTTTAGTCAATTATATTACGTCATCTAACTTACTAACTCAATCTTACTTTAGTTGCTGTCTCATTAACCTTGTTTCTATATTACATCATTCTTTTATTACCTGATCAATTATCTAAACTTGACAAACCTCATGTACACACACACACACAAATAATTTATATATAAATGCGATTGTACAGTTATGTGAATGAATTCGCCGAAGAGAGTCTCTTCACTGAACGTCTTCTCTTTTTCATGTGACTTAAGTTGTAAATGTTTACTTTGACAGTAGTATGACCTACTAATCGAAATCTTTCAGTTTTTTACGTAATATTAGAAACAGAATATTTAGTTATGTAAATTACTTGCGAGAGCAGAAGCAGCTCTGGCTTCACGGCCGAAAAAAGCTTCCAAAGCGCGAACACCATTTCCTGTTGTTCCATTTGCATGTTCAGCTCCATTAGATGAAAATGCAGCGGCTACTTCTGCGTCTTCAAACTGTACGCCTTGTGGCTCAAGAGTTCCAGTACCCCTTTCGCTCACAAGAATATTTAATAACCTGTCTGTAGTTAACTCAGCCAAATCTTGATCAAACTGATTGTGTAGTTTACCCAAGGCATCACCTGTAACAGACCATACGGACGCATAACGGTGCAGAAATTCTCTCATCTGCTCTAGGTGGGCAACTTCAATTTCCTATCGCAATGTAAAACAGAAATAGGATAGAACAAGATTCAGTAGTGACCAATTACAACACATTAGAATATATTCACAATACACATAAGCAAGTGAATCAAAATCTTTAGTTGGATGTATAATCTTGTTTAAAGGTAAGTTGTGTGCTACATTCAGCAATAAACGAATGCTAACATGATTTCTGAATGTTTCGGTTTTAAGTCTGAATTAAATCACTAATTTAGGGTCATGGCAGTGTTGAAGTTAAGATGACACACGTATCTAATAACTATTATTTTTTATTGCAAAGCTGATATCAATGAAGCGTAATAACGAATCATATCTTGCTTAGAATAGATTCTAGAATACATGAAGGAATAAAATGACAAAGATATGTAAAAAAAAGAATAAAACTTATTTTGTAAACCCTTACTTTTAAACGTCACGAGTCAAGCTCCACTAGACGAAAAACACTCGATAGAAACAGACATATAATGCGGACATATCAGTTAGGGAACGATTAGAAACCAAGAAGTACTGGACAGCTGCTTTGTCTTTGTGTAAGACTCTCCATAAGTATGCACCTATGACCCTACCAGAGATCTAACCAAGGACCTTCAGATTATGAGGTGAGCTTGTTAGTCATTCAGCTACTGGGAGGGAATCCAAAGGCCCATTAGTTCGAACTTTTGACAGCTAGCGACATATAGCGTAACCGCCAACCAATCTGATTGGCAAGTATTTCTTCTCACACCCCATTTGATGAACCCTACTGGTCAGTACTTCCCACCGGAACTTCAACCAAATTCAAAATACTTTTCCAGTGTTGATTTGCAGGGATTCGATTGATTTTAAGGTTGGTCACGAACTGATTTCCTTTTACTGACATATGGAAACAGACTGGGTATAAAGAGGATAAAACATAGTACGATCTTCCTGTTTGTTTTGTTATTACTATATTTTAGTCATTATTTGTAATCTTGTTAATTTGACCTTCGATCGAAAATATTTCCGGAACTTTTTCACCCATTTACTATATATACGCGAATGCACAGCTTAGTTGATGGTTTCGCCGAAAAGAACATAATAATTGATACAGACCCCACCTCCGGTGTCCTATAGCACCATCTTGAACCTGACAAGGATGAAATGTATGCTAAATATATTCGGAACTTCGCCAAGGAAACTGAAGAATCTGTGTATCTTTCTTCAAGTATTGGTTTTTGTAGGGATTTTATTTGGTTGGCTGCAGGATTTTATCATGTGCTGACATCAGACAACCGTTGGAAAACCAACTGGGAGTACTGGACAGCTGTTTTGTCCTATTTCAGGACTTTTCAGCAGTACACACCCGCCGGCACCAGTGGCTTAATGCTCTGCAAACTCGCCTTGTAACCAGAAGGTCCTGCGTTCGACGACTGGTGGTGGGTGCGTACTACTGAAGAGTCCCAAACTAGGCTGACTAAACAGATGTCCAGTACTCCCAGGTTTTCCAATGGTTCTCTAACTCATGTCAGCTCATGATGAAATCCTCCAACCAATATATGTATCTCACTAATGTAAACGCACAACCATTTACCTGTTAACCTTCCAGAGTTAACATGCGGTGGGTTAAATGAAACAGTCTACATAAATATCAAGTGGTTCTCTAACTGATGTCAGCTCATGATTAAATCCTCCATGCAAATTGAAAATGTCTTTCATAATAAATGAATGAGTGGCTCGCAAAGTGATGAAATTATAGAAATCAATGTAAAAACTAATATCCATATCTATGCATGTTTCTCTGACTCGACAACTGTATTTAATCATTCTCACAAAAGAAAACCTATACAAATTCCTGAAATCTCCAAGTTTTTCCTAACAAATCTAACAATGATATCAACAAACACTCAATTAGCCAACTATTACCGGATAGTTAAGAGAAATTCATACATACTGACCAGAATTCACCAGGGAGAGGTTGTATGTTTGAATGTAACTCTGAGTTACGCTGAAAAGTTAAACGCATATCAGCTATTTTAAAACCGTTTGATCAGCACGCAGGTACATTATATTATTTACTGAACTAAGTAAATCTCACAGGCTGTATTGAAAGTTTAAATTACCTCAAACTGAGCACACGATATGTGCATTTTGCTCACAAACTGATTACGCAGGTTATTATACTTTTCCACTGAATACTTGTATTCATCTTGAGCTTTTTTAAGCTTCACTTCCAGTTTTTCTTGCTCTCGACTAGAACCAGATTCCAAGCGCATAGCACGTTCATATTCACTGTAACGTGAATGATATGCTTCCTTAGCTTTCTGAAGCTGCATAGAAGTCACCTATATCACAAAACAATAAAATAGAAAACGTTCTCATTAGGAAATAGAATGACCAGAACTGTAACAAAAAATAGTAGTAATATTTCACGTTCAACAACAATGAGTAATCCATACGTGTATAGCAGATTACTCAAGATACTAATCCAAGAACTCAGTTGATGCTGATATTACCCATTCGGCAATGCAGACTAATTAGCTGGTGTACCTGAAGCACTAACAACTAATGGTTTGGGATATGGGTGGCATGGAACAAATACCATCAAAAATTTTACTAAAACAAATTTGAAAACGAACAGTTCGCCCAGAAACAAAAGACTTGAAATCAGAATACACACATGGTCTTATTTGTTGAGGGCGATTAGTTGACCAAGTACTACACACACAAATGTAAACTTGTTTTTAGTGAACACTACAAAAAGTAGTTTCGAAATAAAAATATCAGAGGTCAAAAACAACAGCCAGATCTCTTCAACGAGCTACGAAATACATGTTTTACGAACAACCGGATAAAAGGTGGCGATCAACAATAGTGCATCAGGTTATTCGCTTATTAATCTAAGTCTGAACTTTATTTGAGTGGGACATAGCAAAAGAACGAAACAGAAACAGCAATATTGAAAAATACAAACAACAATGAGAAACAAGTTAAAGTGACGGAAAAAAGGGTAATACAGTAAATGTGTAATATGTGGAGTAAGCTATTGGTCTAGATTTGCATTCACTTAGAAATATGTTACATGAATTCTCTAACCGATGATTTCCATTAGTTATTTGGCCGTAAATACAAATATTTCAGTCCGGTTACCCTCTGACTAGAACTGCGTTCCGTGATACCCGACCGATTTCAGAGTTATAAACAATGTTATTTTTGAGCATATCATCCACCAAGGTGAGGGCAGGCGTGTTTGCATCGGAGGATCACTGTCTGCGCAGATATCTTTAAGGGGTTAGCTGTCCTCCACCGATCCCTCGCAAAGATTAATGATAGGGATATGGTTTATCTATGCTCACCGCTGTGTCATAGTACGCAGATATCACATCAGGAAACCTTCCCTTTGACACCAGAAAAGTTTCCCCAGGAAAAGGTCACATCTGAGTGCAAGTGAAATTCACAAATGCTGAATTTGGCTGGGTTATCAACTTTCTACGTAGCACAAACTGCTTATTTAACCAGTGAAATCATTCATCACAACTACTACACGTTATGGCTTCATTGCTTGTAAAAAATATAGGTCAAAGCTGAATTCGTCCTCACAACTAGGATTATATCAAGCACCAACACAAGAAAGGATTGGCAATTCCTCTTAGCTCCTACAGTAGCTTTCAACTGAACAAATCATATGCGACCAATAAATGCCACTTATATACAAGTGCATACTACTAAAATTCGAAACTCGACACAGTGAAAGCATCCAAACGCGATCATGAACCTACACATTTCATCCCAAGATTACATAAAAATCTGAATACATCGTATGGACAATTACAAAGCATCCACACCTTTCGTATTAGCAAATATTCTAGATTAGGTGGTCTAGAATACATAACGAAATCAAAGCCTTATACCAAACGCTTTGAAAAACAACCGAAGCGTGTTAAATAAAAAACATCTAAATTAGGCGATTCAGTTATTCGTGAACCTAGATTTATGGCATAAAATAATGGGTCGATCCCCACAAACTTCAATTAAGACATGTTGTTTCTAGAACATACATACAATTGTGTGGCTTTTGTGTCTTGTGAATGAAATTATCACTGTTACTTCTTGTGAGAATAAAACCAAATAAATATATGAGAGTTGTTTTAATATATAAAACATGACTGAATTACTAATTGAACAATATTACACGCACATTAGCAATCAAACAAAATTAACCAGTTAAACCAGGAAAGCTTCATCCCTTCAAGGTTCTTCAAACTTATATTACGCCTAACTACGCGCAACCCACCTCAGTAAGTAAGAAAATAGTGGAACAGTGAACATAGAATAAGCCTATCAATTGCAGGTCTAGATCATTGGGAAACTTGTATCTTCCATGCAAAATTTCCATAACCGACTAAGCGGACTTTGTATACTAATAAGTATGCAGTAAAGTGCGAATAATACCAAAAGGAAATCAAATATAAAAGCCTGTAAAAACATAGCACTTTTCACTTATATTTTGCAGCACATTCACACAATCGAATTGAAGTGAAGGGGTAGAATGACATTACTTCCCTGATAGGCACATGCAAACAATAACTGAAGCTAGCCAGAATTATTTACCTGAAATGCATGCACCACTTCTTGAGTAGAAGCTTCTGTATCCTTAATTAGCTTCTGTCGTTTATGTTGCTCTTCAAGATACTTTTGTACATCCCTTGATAAATTTTGTCGTTCTTGAGCAATGTTCAGATGAACTTGGGAGACTTGGTCGATGAGCTGTTTTAACAAGGACCAACAAGGCTTGAAACTGCTAGTGTTATTGTAAGAACCTGCTTGTTTTGACAATTTAATTAAAGCTTTGTAATAGTTGTCTTCCGCAGAATAGCTCTCCCGTAAGAACTCTGCGAACTCAGCCGAAGTGCGGTAGCATAATTTGAAGTTCTGGTACATAGCATCAAATCCAGAGTGCTTCTCTCCCCAAAAATGCTGAGAAAATAAACATGCGCTCATTTCGGTATATCCGTATTGTCAATTTAACTGCTGTGTCTAGTGACTCATCCTAGTATATTCCAACGATGTGTTCTGGCGATTCGCCGCAATGTAACAAAGATAAATATTCCATAAAACTGAAATGGTCTATTATCCCAACAAGCACCCTTTAACTTTAAAGGAATTACGAAAACCGATGTCCAGTAACACACCTTTTAAACCAAGCGCATACATTCCAACATTCAATATCAGATACAGATTTCTTGACTGAGAACAGAAGGCTTCGAGTCTGTATCGATCCCATACTAACAAACACCTGTGCCTATCTGATCCCTTCTTAACCGCACACATCATCTCTCTTGGAGTCGGTTTCAAAAGTTCAAGACTCGGTTGGAAGATTGGCACTACACACCGAAATAGTTTGTTCTTGGCTTTTGAACTATACTTCTGTGTGCCCTGAGATGTTCCTACAAGTTGAGATGGAAAACAGCAGGCAAGGCAGGTTCATGATCATGTCTTAGAATTTAGAACATTCAAATGCTATCTCTACTTACGATGTGAAAAGTAGAAGGGATTCAAACTGCTGTCTTGCCTAGTACGATGAGTAACTCATCCCAAAATTAAACGTGTGGCCTCCCTTTCAGTCCTTTTTAGAATGTATCAGTCTCTTCTCAAATATAAGAGCTAGATTAAGTTTTCCAGTTTCAACTCTCAAGAGATTTATATGGGGCAGTGAATATTTCACTGGTGACTCCAGTCAAGGCTCAGTGCGTATACCCCACCGCCCGACACCCTGTCGTTGTTTTAGGCAATGGCTCACTATGACACCTTGATCCATGAGTGTATGGACCGATTTGAGTACTGTTCCTTCTCTGATACATTGGTTGTGAGCATCGATTCCATGAAACAATTTAATGGTTTCTTGGGATCTCCGTAAAATATGAGCATGTCATTGTTCTCATTTATGCTGTAATAATCATTCTGGCAGAAAATGCTGTAGATCACAGTAAACAGACCTGCTATGTGAGCTGTCGACTAATTTTCCTGGTCCCGTTCTACTGCGTCGTTATTAGCAATCAGTTTTAGATCTTCGTTTAATATCTTATTCCTGAAGCCTATGTACGAGAATATTTTCTCAGGCTGTACAGGCAGATACATTTCAGACCGTAACTAATGAATTCTGGCAATAACTTTATTTCTGGTCATGGTGTACGACTTTCTGACTTCAAAGACTCAGCCATGTTGAACGAGATCCATCTTTTTTGCCTACGCCTAAAAATTCCACAAATCTGCTGATTCATTGTGAAGGAAGCGTTTTCGACCATTCAGGACAGGGCGCTGGATGACGGATTAGGTTAATCACTCACATAGTGACTCAGATTGGCCCCACGCAGCTTCCACCTGAGACTTCCCTGCCCTGTGATGAGAGTGCGGAGATAATGGCCCTCATTTCAACGCCTGATGGAGCTGGGGTTTTGGTCTTGGATATAAAAGCAGATGAAAAACCAAGAGAGATCACAATATAACTACTTATTTCCGGGGATGAAAGACGTGCTATTAGCGTAACATACCGATTCTGGGTGTCAGTTACGATTTCGTGATGTTAATGGCATCCGGGTAGTAAGAATCTTCCAAACTGCTAAATAATTTTTACCTATTCAGCAGACTGGCGGCATTGGTGTAGCAATATGTTAGAACAATTTGGTGCTTCCTGATTTCCACCAACATAGGTTTGGAAGTGATCAAACTGTAGGTGCTAAAGCCGACTTTCAGATAGACCTTAACGTCAGCACCCACTAAAATTGCTTTCCTCGATTAACGCTGATCAGTACACCACTTACCGTGTGTGTGCTGATGAACAAAGTCCAGGTGGAAGGCTTATTCACTTTTGCGTGCCCTAATATGAATCATATTTGTACAAGTGAAAACCAAAACTAATTTGTGGCAATAATGTACAATTTATCTGTTACAGGCTGTGGTATCAAGCTCGAAAAGTGTGCTTAGTGGTGATACAACTGGGGAGCTGGCCACATGCTAGCAGTCAAGCAGGAAAAACAAGGATATCGTGGCGCTATGGTGCATGAATGCGTTAAAGCAAAGTTGCATATATTCAAGGTGTACTGCGAAACTATGGATTTATACTGTTCTGGAACCCTTAATAGTGAGGTTTTTCACTCTGTACAGGCGCCGTTCTCTTTGTGTCATATGATGCGGTCTGCTAGGCATGAGTTATCGTAGACGTAGAGACCCGATCATTACGCTTCTCTCCGATTTTCCAAGTGGTCCACATATTGTGGACTAGGTCGATTATATTCAAAATATGAATGGTTATGCCTTCTAGTGCCGTGAAGTGAACACTGTCTACAATTTGCTTGGCTGTACTGAATTCATCCTCGAGCCCAGCTTTGGGATATGCAGCTGTTGGTCCCTCCGTTTTGTGAAAATAGGCGCCCTGTCGAACCGATCAGCTGTCTCAGTTGGCAGATCTGCTTTCATATGGGAGGTTTCCTTCCAGCCCTTAATGACGATATGCCTTCTGTATTGGTTATGTCAATCTTTTTACTTGACCAATCGCGACACCCCAGTGGCGTCCTTTTCACCATCTCAATTTGGTGTCGACTGCCCACTGTCACCCTGAGAGGCGCTTCAGGCTGGTTTTAAACATTCGGCCGCTTGTGAGGCGAATTTTAATAAGCGTTTTCTTTATATCTGCATTGGATATCACTGATGTAGCTACCAGTTTTTTCCCTCCAGGGAGGAACCTAAATAAGTTAATTTGAATAGTGGAGGTCAGCGCCCGAAGCTAAATGGAGAATAATGTTGGCTAACGATTCTGAGGAATTATTCGCTCCTGCAGTTTACTGTACCCTAGTAGGGTTGCGAGGACAATACGACCATAAGAGCCATAGCTGTAATCTACGGGAGGTACCGTCAGTAAAGAATTTACTATTGGTGCTATATTGCAGAAATGCACTTTGGTCGTCTGCTTAGTGTGACGTGTGTACTAGGAGTCATTAAACCTTCGTATCCTGGTTGTGGCGATTCGTTTGCATATTAAAAATTGGGATTGAACATCGGGGAGAAAACAAGATCTGTCAAAGTAGTTGGAGATTGAACAATCCATTCATGTTTGTTTGCTCAAAACCAACTCCTCCATATTTTTCGCGGGAGTCATCAAACCAGCAATCATCGTCTCGTCGTTCGCTGTTCAGTGGAAGATAGAAAACTATCAGAAACCTTGTGTGTAATAACCTTATTGTTGGTTACATATTGGCGTAAGAATGAAGGATTCTCGAGTCGCCAATCTGTATTCTGGTCTTCGCGTTGGTTATTACCACTTGTTTCTGAAAGTCTTCCGGGGACAGCGTGAGGTCCAGCGTAGTAAGAGCTGGACATTGACGACTTCTGAAAGTTGGCTGGTCAAGTTCAATGATCCCTGGGTCAAAGAAGGGACAGTGCCTCTTGGAAGCAAGCAGGAAAGTAAGTAATGCTGAGTTGATTGTTATTTGCAATTATATGTATGATGCTCAGCATGATGAGTCTGTTGTTCATGTTTCGCCGCCTAGGGACAATAGGAACTTTAACCTACCTAAATATGAGCCTCGGTGTTTCGACGGAAACCCAGCTGACCATCCACAGTTTGTAAAGGAGTTTGAAATCATGTTGAATGCCCTTCCAATAAATGAAGTTAATGTATTTATTGAGGTATTGTACTGGAGTTGCTTCAAGAGAGATAAAGTGCTCTCAGCATATGAAGCCAAAAGAAGGATACAGTGAGGTTATGAGTATACTGCGTCGAAGATTCGGAAGGCATTTGATGATGGTAGATAATTTATTCGAGTCTGTTAAAGGTAATGGTGGTCAATTACGGGATGACTCCAAGGTGCTGTCTGAGTTTTTGGATAATCTGATGACTTAAGAGAATACGTTGATTTCTATGGAAGTGGTATAGTACCTGTGCAAGTATTACAACAAGATAAATTTTATGTAATGAATCACGCAAAAATGCAACGCAAACGTTGAACGTACCGCGATACAGGTGGTGCAGATGATGACTTACAAGAATACGTTGATTTCTATGAACTGCATGAGTGATCTGAACTCAAGTTCCGTCCTAGAGGTAATAGGGAGGCGCCTACCTACTCGACTGCAAAGGAATTGGGTGAAGATAAGCTCTCGTATAGAGGATGAAGGTATTGAGCCAAAGTTCGATGATATTCTGAAACTGGCAAATGATAGTGTCAATCTATCTATGAGCAAGTTTGCCAGTATATTGCATCCCACCCCTAGAATAGAGCAGTCTGAGAGCAAAACGCAATCATTTATGAGGAAGGCGTCTCAAAGAAGTGGAGGTCGAGAAAGCTTTATGGTGCCTAGTAATCCATATAAACTTAGTGATTGTAACAGCTTTCGTGGGACATCCCCAGCAGATAGGTTAAAAGATCCGAGAAAAGCATGGTTGTCAACCAACTCCACATTTTTCGCGGGAGTCATCAAACCAGCAATCATCGTCTCGTCGTTCGCTGTTCAGTGGAAGATAGAAAACTATCAGAAACCTTGTGTGTAATAACCTTATTGTTGGTTACATATTGGCGTAAGAATGAAGGATTCTCGAGTCGCCAATCTGTATTCTGGTCTTCGCGTTGGTTATTACCACTTGTTTCTGAAAGTCTTCCGGGGACAGCGTGAGGTCCAGCGTAGTAAGAGCTGGACATTGACGATTTCTGAATGTTGGCTGACAAGATGGTTTGGAAATTTTCCGGAATAACTTCTCAACTGGTGCAGACATGCCCACCAGATACAAATGAGAGGATAGGGAACACCAAATAAACAAATATTTCTTAAATCACATATTGGAATATAGAAGTTCAGTTTATGATTCGGAATAAGGATAAAGAATCTACGTGTTTTTAATGCATACGGTTTTTTTTCTTCGTTGGCTCTCTGGTAGTTTTTCTCTG